CTTCTGCCTGGTTGGGGTTTTGATTTACCTCAGGTCACTGTGTGTTCATGTGGAAGACATTTCCTTGGGATCGAAAAGGGCAAGCAGGGTTGAGGAGAGAGCAGCTGAAAGAGGCAATGGTAGCCCTTCAGCCTTCGCTTTGCTTGTGTTGTCAACACACCTTCCTCCTGCGTGGGCTGCCCCTCCCTCTCATCATCCCGGGGTCCATATGTGATGGACCCCAAAGACCCATGTGTTACAGCTTTGGTCTTTATCCTGTAGTGATACTTTTAGTAGGCAGGGCCTAATGGAAGGCTATTTAGTCATTGGAGGTGTGTCCTAAAAGGGATATTAGGCCCCCTGGCTACGTCCTATCTTTCTCTTTTGCTTCCCGGTCAATGTGAGGTGAACTCTGCCACCTTCTCCGATCATGACGTGCTACCTCACCACAGGCCCAAGCAAACAGGCCCTACGGACCATGGAAGTATGAGCTGATATCCAGATACTTGTCCCAGGCATTTTGTTTCAGAACCAGAAAGCTGATTCACACTTGTGCTGATTAGTTTTTTTTTTTTTTTTTTTTTTCTGACACAACCTAGAATCGTCTTAGAAGAGGGAACTTTAATTGAGGAACTGCCCAGATCAGATTAACCTAGGACCATGTCTGTGAAAGACTGTCTTCATTGGTCATCGATGCAGGAGGGCTCAGCCCACTGTGAGGGGCACCATCCCTATGCAGGTGAACCTGGACTGTATATGAAAAGCAACTAGCTGAGGATAAGCCATTGAATGAACCAGGAAGCAGCATTCCTCCATGATTCCTGCCTCTAGATTCCTTCCTCGAATTCCTGCCCGGCTTCCCTCAATGACTGATTGTGGCCTGGAAGTATAAGCCAAATAAACCCTTTCCTCACTCACCTAAGTTGCTTTTGATCAAAGTATTTTTTTTGTCACAACAAAAGCAAACTAGGAGAACATCGGAAAGCAGATTCGTTTGCATGTTCCCACAAAGTTGTAGCATCGGGAAGAAGAATGTAAGGAATCATAATTTATAAAATTTGAATGGTAAGAAGTTGCCTGTTCAAATGAATTTAGTCAATATTGGACAGTTTCCACAAAATACAGACAATGCTTCAGTGATCCTAGTAAGGAAGTACTCATAATGAAATCAACCTTGCCTTAGTATTAGAGCACCTGTCACCCCCATTTATAGCCAAAAAAACTGAGGTTGGGTTACTTGTCCTGAGCCACCAGAGGCCGCCTAAGAATAACACTGCCTTCCGTTTCTCAAAGAACCTCCTTGCTGGAAAAGCTCAGCTCTCTGGGAAGTCTTTCAGAGCACACACCCATGGACCTCGATTAGGTCAGACTCCTAGTTGCCGAGTGAGGTGAGTGGTTTGGGCAAAGAGAGACAGTTCTGGGATGCTAGAGACCCCCAAAAGGTCCAGACACTCCTCACAGAGGCTCAGATACCAGACTTGAAACAGAGTAAAATAAAGGGTGGATTCTGTCCTACCCATTATGAATTACGTTTATTATAGATTTCGACATCCCCCACAAACACTCATGGTTTGAAAAGGGAATTAGGTTGGGATGTGAGAGACATTATCTGTCCTCTTTCATCTCAGTTTTTCCGTCATACGTATTTGTGTGGAGGCCGGACATTGACATCAGGTGACTTTCTCATCACTCCTCACTTCCAAGAGACTGACTGGCCAGTGACCTCCGGGAATCCAACTGTTTCCACCTACCCATCTAGTTCTGGGATTACAGGCACATGCTGCCTGCCATGAAGAGCTTTTTCACACAGGTGCCGAGGATCCCACTCAGGTCCTCCTGCTCCGTCAGCAAGCACTTAGGTGACTGAGTCACTCCTCTAGTCCCCACGCTTTGTAAAACTATTTATTTATTCATTCATTCATTTATACGTGTACGAGTGCTTTGCCTGCACGTCTATATGCACACGACATATGTGCAACAGTCACAGAAACCGGACAACAGTGTCAGATCCCCTGGAGCTGGAGTTATAGACAGTTGTGAGCTGCCATGTGGGTGCTGGGAACCAAACCGTCTCTCCACACTGCCCTCGTGATGCTTATTTCTATTGAATGTTTATCACACCAACAAGCCTTCAACGTAGTCCCAGATCACATCACACACACGCCAAGAAGCCCAGTCTCAGACAGGGCCAGCACCTCCAACCTGAATACAAAAACAATGAAATTAGCAGGAAAGTGAGGGCTGCGACAGCTCCATAAGCCAGGAAGGAATGAGGGCAGTGTGCTGACGTCTAAGGAGAATCGTCTGCTAGGGAAAATGGGAGAATTAAGAGCAGACCTGTACACAGCACTTTACAGTTTATCCAGTATTCTCTTGCTTGAGTCTTCCCAAGTGCTGGGAAGTGGGAAGGGGGTCACAGGAAAGGAAATGAAAGTTCAGCGCTCCAGTGCGCACCCCGTGAACACACAGCTGGGGTTGAGGCAGGGATGGGGGAGGGAGGCTGGGCCCTCACCAACCACCAGGCTCAGGAAGCTCCCAAACACCTTGTGACCTACTGTGCAAAGTAATGAGTCCCTCCTCTTTTAATCCCTAGGGCCACATCCTGTGGCCAAGACCACGACTTTGGTTCCCAGTAGACACAGCCAGAAGGGACAACCCCACTGTTTTATCGCCCCATAAAGCACTTATTATCTTAACTGCATCGGGTGACATGGGGCCACCTTGGGACACAGGCATACCCTGGGGTGAATAAATGAGACAGAGAAATTGAAGAGGAACCTCTCCTCACATCCTGCACCACCCGCTCCCACTGTTTGCCTTTGGTTCCTCTAAGACAATGATGTCTAGGGCAAGTAGCCACCTGCCTCTGTTTACTCACCTGTAAAATGGGAACTTGAGCATCTCAGCTTCTCCCTGCCTGCTGAATGACAAGCCAAGGGGAGTGGAGGAAGAGCCTTCCAGTCAGGACAAGCCCAGAGCCAAGTTCATCCCCCCCACCCCCCCACAACTGCTCTTTGGGAACTGCCTACTACAGGGAAGGTCTATAGTTGAGTGTTCTGCTCTGACTTCAGGATCACATGGGAATCAGCAAGAAGAGTCAAAGGTGAGCTCTCTGTCTGTGGCACTGCCACTGACTGGAAGGCTCTGCAGATGCCACAGGTCAGGAGGGAGTCTTGGGGTGTGAGTGGAGGCTACCTGCATTAACCACTTTGCAGCTGGTGGTGACCACTATCCACCTTTGAGCAGAGTTCTACTTCCCAATCCCATTTCCCTCCCGCATCCGTCCAGTGATTATTTAATAAATACAATGTCCTCTGTACATTTTTGGAGTTTATATTTTCTTAAAGACCTGACAAACTGATAACCCAGGCAGGATCTCAGATAAACTTGTGGGATGAGAGTTCTGATAGGCTTGTGACAACTACCAGCCTTTGGTCCTTGGCCACTGCACAGGGGAGGGTCTTTTACTATTTCAAAAACACTCACATGATGGGACTCAGCATCCAGGGACCCTGGTGGGAGACATCCTAGATGTTTTCAGTAGACCAAGGTGAGAGTCATGGGACCAGCCACACAAGCAGAGAGCCCAGAAAGTGGCAGGGGAGATGAGGGGTGAGTGTTGGTTACCTTAGTGTCAAAGGCAGATTCTCAGATGTCTGTCAGTCCTCACTCATTTGGGGGCTCACAGTCCTCCTCCAGTCTCACTTGTGTGCTCAAACCTATAACAGCAGAAGACCTTCCCACCATCAGAGAGAGCAGAGCTCCAATGGGACCTTTCCAAAGGTTCACAGCTTATTCGACTACGCAGAAGGCCCCCTAGTAACACTCCAGTGAAGACACAGGGAACAGAGATGGACACTAGAACAGGGGAGCCTTTTCACTGGCTCCCTTAGGATTCCTCACAGAAAGAGATGGCTGAGCCTCTCGGAGATTGTACCACCTCTCCTGTGGGGGAGTTCAAGCCTCACTCTTTGATGAAACCACCCTACACCTGGGTGAGATGCTTTCCCGAGTTTCATATGGGGCTTAAGACTAGCTCCTGGGATGAATGGATCACTCCCTAAATGGCAAAATAAGAGGAGCTGGACATGCCTTCATCCCTACCCCTTCTTGGCAGTTTTTAGAAACAAACATTAAGAGCTTTGAGTCTGAAAGCAGATAGCTGCAAAGATCTCATGTCTTTTGTGTTTCTTTCTTTTTTTTTTTCATTTTTAAAACGGAGATTTAATTCATGCGTTTCAAATATTAAATAATAGTCTCCCTTGGGCTGGGCCCGAGGGTGGTGTGTGCTTATGAAGATCAGAGGACCAGCAGCCGGAAGGCTCCCAAGTGCGGTACATAAGAGCTGTCGCCTAGCTTTTGCCTTCTTTCATGGATGTGAAGGAAGTTCGCTGCCGGCCCTGCTCGGAGTGGACCTCCGGCCACTGACGGCCCTAGCTTGGGCAGAATGGAGTGCAGGCGTCTGGCCTCTGGACTCCGAGCCGAGGCAGCGATGGGTGGTGGCCGCCCGATGCCCAGATTCCAGGCGCAGCGGAGGGCCCCAGAGCGAGCGCTCGCTCCCGCCAAAGTTGGTCAAGTGCAAGGAGCCGCTGCGGCGGTCGGGGACCACAGGTGCCCCCGGCAAAGTCTTCTGATTGCCTGGAGAGGGGTCTGTTACCGCGATCGCGGCGCGCCAGCTCCCTGACCTGACTGGTGTCCCAGTCCTGCGAGTTCCAGGCCCTGCAGTCCCTCTCGGAGCTCGCCTAAGGACAGCCTCCTGGGCTGCAGAAGCCCGCGGTGTGGCCGCCCGGCGAAACGCAGAGCTCACTCCGGCCGCAGCCCGGGTCGCCGTCCGGCTCCCGCAGGGGCAGGGACAGCGGGAGGGGTGGCTGCGGCGGCCGGGTCCCCTCCTCCCCTCCCGCGCCCGCCCTCCCTTCCCCGGTCCTGCAGCCAATTAGGCGGCCCCTTGGGCGGGAGGCGTGGGGCGCTCATAAAGGCGCGGAGCTGTCACCCGGAGCAGGCTGCGCACCGCCCAGGCAGAGCCGGTGCGTCGGGGACTCGGGACGCCTCGGGCTGGGGAGCGCAGACCAGCCATGGCCACCACCAACGGGGCTGTGGAAAACGGACAGCCGGATGGGAAACCGCCTGCCCTGCCGCGCCCCATCCGCAACTTGGAGGTGAAGTTCACCAAGGTGAGGAGGGCTCCCGTTCCACCCGACGGCGTCGGACTCCCGCGCCGAGCAGTCTGGCAGGGAAAGCGGGAACCAGGAGCCAACCCTGCTGGGAGTCCACAGGGAGCTGCCCGTACCTGAGAGTCTCTGGTGGGGTCCGGCTCCTCGGAAACCTCACTTTTTCGGGGGGCACCCGCGCCTCTGGCTCGGCGATTTAAGCCCCAAAACCTGAGGAGCAAGGATGTAACTCCGCAAGCACCCAAGCTGCGGAGTTACAGCCTGCAGAGGCCCCGATGTGCCCGGGCCATGGCCCACTTTGAGTGCTGGTCCTTGCCGCCGTGACTGGGCGCACAGGGACTTCTTGGCAGAGGGGTTTCTGGTCTGGAGGACCTGGGCTGTGGGTAGGGTTAGAGGTGCCTGAGGACTCCCAGAAGAGTTTCAACTATGCGCCACTTCGGGAACTGCAACTGGGAGGTAGGTGTTCCTGGGCAATGAGAGAAGGATCTGGTATCTTCTGTGTGCTCAGCCTGAACCCAGCTTACCAGTCGACCTGAGGAGGGAGGATGGAGATCACTGGTGAGCATCGGAGGACTGGGCCTAGGGAAGCTGAGCTGCGAGTTGAACGGGGCTGTAGACAGTGCCCAGGAGCAGTGGCCTTTGCCCTTCCTGGGAGGCTGGAACAGGCAGAGTGATGAGATACCTGCTCTGAGCTGCAGGGACAACGGTGATATATGGGAACAGAGCAGAGTCCCCGGAGGAAGGACAATCGTAAACTCTGGGATGCGCTGCTCTGTGCCTGCTGCTGGATGCGAGGTGTCTGAGGGACTCAGATCCGAAACAGCTTTTGGCTTCAGGTCTGGAAACTTCACCCCATCTTATTTGCACACCGTATCCATAGCTCCCCTCCAGCTGTCCCAATGCTCAGAAACCACCCTCATCAATTTTATTTTCAAAAGTAGCAATTATCCCTCTGGAATCATTTTAATCAAAAGGTGAAGGCGGCGGGCCGCGATGTGTGGCCTTCAGACTCTGATCCGTTGGCATTTAATCCCCACAGTTGTCCATGCCGACATATAAATTGCATGGCTTTTACATGAACTGTTTTCCCAAGGAAGGCTCTGTAATCAGAGAGGCACAGCCCTGGAAGGTCTGAAAGTTTTTCAAAAGTAGTTTCCTTAATCGTATCGGCTTTAGAGGGAGGATTCCAACGCCAGCGCTGGGAACGGTAGGAATAATGGCTTCATTTTTCAGACCCAAACCGTGATGTGGCGGCTTTGTTTTGTTTTTACAGTGATGTAAAACACCACAGCAACCAGAAAGTGAGCAGGACTGTCCCTTTGCTTAGTGTCTTGTGTCTTCCCACAACTGGAAAGAGACCAAAAGTTGGCCTCTTCTTAGGCGAATCCCAGGAACACTTTTAAGGTGCCTTTGCAGCCTTTACGGAGGGGATCCTGGGAGGCTCTCAGAGGAGTGATTGCTGCCCTGATGGAGCCCCCCTTCCCCTTTGCAGATTGAGGGTGTGGGTGTGTCTGATCAAGGCTGAGGAAACATGATAAGATGCAGAGGACCGAGAGCTGGGATCCTTGGAAGGTTCCAGGAGATACTTTCTCACAACAGCCTGACATCTGGCTACACCTTCTACCCCTTATTGATTCTGCCTGCTCCCTCCTTGCTCCTTGAGCGCCTCTGCAGAGCCCGCCTATAAGAATTAAAAGGCCAAGGTGAGCCTTGTACTATCAGGGTGCCCTGGGCGACAGAAGGGAGCCAAAGATGTGGAAGAGCAGATTCCAGGCCTGGGACAAACAGTCGCCTGTGAAGCATGGGAGCCAGCAAGGGTGTGCGGTTTTCCTGACTCACCGTACTTCTCCAACATGGAGGACCGGTTTGAGCTCAGGCCATGGCAGGAAGATCTACCATGACTCTATCAAAGCTCCTTCATTTTCCTCAGATTTTTATATTGGGCATAGGGTCATGTGAGTGATTCTGGTGAGGAGAGGGACGGTCCTCTGGAGGGTCTCCATACTGATCGTAGAAGATGGCAGCCCCTTCCATTTTAGGGACACACTTTCTTTATAAAATGTCTTCCAATAGCAGAGGCTCTCTTTCAAAAGTGTTTTAATTCACAAAAAATACAAATCTTACTATCTCTTTCATGAGAAGTAAAATTCCCCCAAATCTCCTGAAAATGTAGGCATTTTGAATTTAGCTGAGTCGAATGGAAGTTGCTTTTGTGACCATCACCTTTCCCTCTATCCAGCCCAGCACGCCTTCCAGGTCCTTTGGTAAAACCTGAATTCTATTTACGTCTCAAAGTATCTTCAACCTTACATATCTCTGTAATGTCCTGTTCCTGCCGGTTCACAAGTCAGTGAAGACAGTTCCTTTCTAGACCTGTCAGCTAGCATGTTATGATTCACAACAATTCAGCCAGCATCGGTGGTGGGCCACGCCCGGGACTGTTTCTTCATTTGTGTTTATGAGTTGCTTTAGTGGAAAAAAAAAAAAAACCCAGCAGTGGGAACCACTTACCAGATCACTTACTAGTGGGATAATGAAAACAGCTTCGCTCAAGGAGAAACACTGTGATGGAGAAATATGGTCAACCAGGCTGGAGTTTTTATTTGAGGTTGCTGGTTGGCAAGGTCTAAGGACCAATGTCACGAACAACCAGGTAATATGCATATTTTTTGAAGAGTGTGTCTAGAGATGAGGTACATGCAGCAGACATCCGATCGCGGCAGTCTGCCTCCATCCCCTGCTCTTTAGACTCTGTTCTGCCACCTTCTCACTTTCCCTCCCCCTTGGAATTGATACCAGGAAGGACCTAGAATCAGCAGTTTTCCCTCACAGTCTCTATTATCTAACCGACGAAATTTCATCTTCCTTCAAATGGGCCTGCTCCTGGCTTCACTTTCCTCTCCGCTCTAGCTCCTTCTCTGCTTATTAATTTCTCGCTGTTGCCGAGTAATTACTTGCTGCATGGCAAAAGTGAACACTTGGATTTGGTTTCAGCTGGAAGAATAAACCTGTAATTGTAGCCAGGCCTTTTCCTCGCATGCTTCCCTGGGGGCCTGGCCTCACATGGAAGGCTCTGAGCTTCCAGAAGTTGGATGGGTATGCCCTCCTGGAACTTCATGCTCTCGGCTCTAAACTCCATACTGAGGGTCTGGAGTAGCCTCTGCTCACCTCCCCGGCCAGTGTTTGAGGTTCACTCCAGAGGCAGCCTGAGTTGATTTCCTTCTGCTTCAAAACCTATACAAGAGAGTCTAAAGCGATGGCAACCAAGCCACGCACTCAGGGATGGCTGCTCTCACATCTGCTATCAGCCGGGCTTTGTCCTGTTCCAAAGGAATTGGCTTCCATTATTGAAATTAGCTCCACGGCGAAAAAACTATCATTATCATTTGACTAACTTGCATAGTCATGTGATATGTTTTAGGCTGTAGAATTCAGGCAGGCCCATGACAGCCTTTCCTGTGGGTGGGCTGCATGAATGAGGCCCCAGAAACTGGCTGTCCTGGTGGCTGACAGTCCTTCTATGCCATCAGAACCTGCTTTGTGTATTATGGGTCCCCTCTGTTTCTGGTTCTTTCCAAAAGCCACCTTCTTTTTTAATTTTTTATTTCGTGTGCATTGGTGTTTGCCTGCATGTATGCCTGTGTGAGGGTGTCAGATGCCCTATAATTGGCATTACAGATAGTTCTGAGTTGCCATGTGGGTGCTGGGAATTGAATCTGAGTCCTCTGGAAGAGCAGCCAATGCTCTTTACTGTTGAGCCATCTCTCCAGCCCCCCTCCCCGCAAAGCCACAACTTTTAATGTCATCTTTTAAAGGTGATTAGAGCTTAGAAAAAAGTCAGAGTAAGTCAAATGGGTCTCAGCACACCAATTTGATGAATTCTTTTTAAATACTGTATTTTCAGCTATGTTTTGGATAATTGAGGCTTCTATAAAATAATGTTTTGTGAGCTACTTATTTCTGGATGTAAATGGTGGTGTTCTATATCTCTTAACGTAATCTAAAAGGTTTCTAACCCAGATGGTTAACTCTGTGTTCCAACACTGGCTTTGTAAAAGGCCCCGGGATGCAGAGACCAGAGACCATGCCACCGTGTGGCCTAACGAAGCCTGAGGAGTAATGGGAAGATCGCCAATAAACCTAGGTCCCGGGGGTCTTGCTTGGAAGCAGGAAGGGGTGTGCATGGCTTACAGCCTTTCGGGACCCGGCAGATTGTACGTACACAAGCCTGCCCACCCTCCCGTTAAAACCCTACCCCTAGGCAAGCTTCAGCGTGCACATCCCTTGTAACCATTTAATTCAGGTGTTCCTTGGCAAATCCACGCTATTGCTACAAACGAAGATGTAATTTAGAAAAATAACTCAAAAGGGCTTTAGATTAATTATGTCAAATTGGTTCTAACTGTGAGGCCGTTCCCCGCCGGTTGCTTCGTGTGAGTCCGTGTACTGCCCCCTACTCCAGGTCTCGTTATAAAACATCCAGGGAAGGGGGCGGGGAAGAAAGCGGACAAGACGTTACCTAAGATCCCTAGCACGTTGAAATTGTATGATTTTGATTTAAAGCTAATTTGTTGCACTTCCTTTCCCGGTTAGATATTTATCAACAACGACTGGCACGGATCCAAGAGTGGAAAAAAGTTTGCCACATACAACCCTTCGACTCTGGAGAAAATCTGCGAGGTGGAAGAAGGCGATAAGGTCGGTCCTCTCCGCCTTTTCTAAGTAATTCGATTAGAGAGACATGAGGGCTGGGGAGGCCGTGTGGCTTGGCTGTAAGACGCGTGGGCCCACCTCCAGGTAGGGCCAGGGCAACCACAGCAGCTGGTCGGTATGTGCAGCTCAGACACAGCCGAGCATGAGATCAGTTACAGATGGGCTTCTGCAAAGAGTCACCATCTTTGATGGATGTTTCTCCATCTCTGAGGATGACCTCAGCTGTCTTCATCACACAGCTAAAGGGAAGGGTTTTTTTTTTTTTTTTAAATCAATTATTTCAACCTGTAAGCATTAAAGAATCTTTCGAGAAGGCATTTCCTGCTGGTGTGTTTCACCAAAAGTAGCATTCTGGCAGGAGACACATAAAAAAAGGTGTGGGGGAGGACTTGAAGGATGGGGAAGATGCTCCCAAATGATCCTGGGGGTAGTAATATGTCACATGACTGCTTGATTTCTTGCCTGTGGAAATGCACATGAAATGAGACTGTAGTCTGTGCAGACCTTTTTGCCTGGTGTAAGGTCTCCTTTATCACACAGACATGGAGGGACCTCTACATGTAGCCTTTTTTACCTTTCAAGGCCATAAATGTGTTTTAAATAGAAGGGCCTCTAAAGAAAAGTTGATTAGGGTAACAGCCTCCTACAGAGGGAAGAAAAACATGACCCTCTGTTTAACCACTGGAGTACTGGATGGATCGTCTGCCTGCCTTTCTTCTGCTTTTCTTCCTTCCTCTCCTCCTTTTTTCTCTTCCTTTCCCCTCACCATCCCACTTCCCTTCCTCCATTCCCCTCTTCCTTTCTTTTCTCCCCCATCCGCCATTCTGAGACACCAGCTTGCATTGTTTTCCAGGCTAGTGGAAAATTCCTAGGCTTCCGGGGATCTTCCTGGGATTACAGGTGCTAGATAATTTGGAGGGCATGTTGCAGGTCAACCCCAGGGCCTTTTGCATGCTGGGTAAGCACTCTAGTGCTGAACGTCACCCTCAGCCCTTGGTTTCTTGATGTAGTTCTCACTATTTAGCCCAATCTTGCCTCCAACTCCGGATCCTCCTGCCTCTACCTCCCAAGCGCCAAGGTTATAGGTGTGCACATCACACCTGCTGAACAGATAGCCTTACTATGTGCATTGGTGAGGCCAAGTGGGTGAGGAAGACTTGGATTTTCTTGCACAGGTGACAGCTTTTATGTGTGCAGGAAGCACAGTGGCTCACCTGCATAGACCCGGTTCCCTGTGGTTCCCTACACGGAAAAGGAAAGAAATGGGGAGCAGCTGGGAGGAAGCGGGGCGGCTCTGTCAGAGGGCGTATATGGATGTTGAACCCCTACTTCCTAAAAGTAGGAACCCAGTGGCAGGCTCTGGTTCCTCCCATCCTCTGGATGAATATTTTGCTCTATATACCCAGAGACAGAGACTACCCATCCCTTGCAGCTGGAGAGGCCCCGACCTCCCCTCCGGAACCAGGACAAGAACACCACAGTGCCCAACATTTCCCTTGCTAAAGCTTGCCCTCACTCTGTGAAGGCTTTGGCGATGCTCTTGGCAGAGACCTCTCCTGACTGGGGTCCTCATCAACTACCTGCCACATCACCCTAGGGAGACAGGCTCGGTGCAGGGTGAGACTTTGTCTCTCAGCAACCAGCTCTTCAGAGCCCATTTTCCTGAAATGAGGGCAGGTGGGTCTCCTCTGCGTACCTCTCACTTCTGTCCTTTTAAAAGATCCAGGGCAGGAGCAAGACTCTCTAGTGGAAGGCTTGTCTAGCAGGTTCAAGTCTCAGCATTAAAAAGCAAAATCACAAAGACCTGTGGTTGTTACTCGTCTGTAAGTAGCACATTGGGTGTGGAAATGGTGGTCTCTGTATGTGTGGAGATGGAGCTGACACAAGGGAAATCTTCTTAATTTTTTTAATTTATTATTAGTGTGTGTGTGACGTGTGTGACTGCAGACACTCCTGTGTTCACTGGGAGGTCAGAGGGCAGGTTGGGGGAGCCGTTCCTCTCCTTGCGTTACGGATTCTGGGGATTGAACTCGGATCTTCAGGTTTCACAGCAAACACTTGCCAGCTGAGCTGCTGTTATCTCACTGCCCCGGAAAACCTTTCAGACCTGGGTCAGCCAGAAAAATATCTGAGGTCGACGGCTCTATGAAACGTTAATATGTCAGAAATATTTTACAAGACTTACCATGTAAAGAAAAAAAATTACTCGGAGGCCCCCCCATCATGCAAGGGGTTTAAAAACTCGCTGCCTGACGGTCTGGGCTGCCCCCTCCTTCCCTGGCTCCACAGCAGCAAGTCGCCCTTGTTTCTGTGCCCTCAGACTGCGGTGGTGGCCGGGGAAAGTGACACGCTCTCTCTGTTGTTTTGCCGTGCAGCCCGACGTGGACAAGGCCGTGGAGGCCGCACAAGCCGCCTTCCAGCGGGGCTCCCCATGGCGCCAGCTGGATGCCCTGAGGCGAGGCCAGCTGCTACACCAACTGGCTGATCTTGTGGAAAGGGATCGTGCCATCCTGGCCGTGAGTACTGGCACTGGGCAGGTGGGGGGGGGGGAGGACTGTCCTCACTGGTCCCCTCACTGAGGGGACCGTCCCCATGGGATGTGGTCGGAAACGTCTGAGGTGCTTGTCAGGCGTGGCCATGGGTCTATTTGGTCTTTGGACGTGGGGAGCAGGAGGCCATGCCCCAGGACTTCAGCCTTTTCATCATGCAGTCCGACTTTCTCCCCTGCAGCTCAGCTTTGTGGTCATACTTTGTTTGGGCTCTAACAAATAGTACCATACAGCTTCTTGGCCAAGCTGCATAAAGGAAGTTCCCTGGCCTCAGTGGTTTCTAGACTAGGGACATTCACAGAAAGAAGGTCACCAAAGCCTGAGCTCACCTGACCTCACCTGGACATTTATGTATTAACTGTTTTCTTCTTCATATTAAGTTCCTTGCTAATATAAATATAACCTCATCATAGGTATGCTAGTCTCCTATCTGAAGTTTCAGTTATCCAGAATCACTTCCCCCCCCACACACCCTGCTCAAAAATATCATGTGGAAAATCCTGGAAATAAGCAAATGGCCTTGTATTGCAGCAAACTGTTGTAATTTCATTTATTAGTTGCTGCTTCTCATCTCTTAACAGTGATTTACAAGCTAAGGTTTATTGTAGGAACTTAGTATCAGAAAAATAAATGCAGTATGTATTTAGGGATTAGGCCCTACCTACAGTTTTCAGGCATCATAGAACATAGGTGAACCCATGGGCCTAATGAGCTGGTTGTAGTCCTTTTGTTTTCAATATTGAAACAAATGACACTGTTTATAGAACATCAAAGACCTTGTATTATCTAAATGCATTCCTGTATCACCCCTGAACCGGACAGTGGTGAACACATCCAGAATGTTGACAAGGACAAGATTTGATTACCAAAGACCCACAGCATAAGAGGTATGGGTTCAAATCCTAGCCTCACCACTTACTGATTACATGCTGGTTTCTTAACTGCCTGGGATTTATTTCTTCAGGTAAAATGTCAGAGATAATGATATCCAAGTGTTGGGAAAAAGCCACTTTAAATCCTCAGCAGAGTCCCCAGCATACAGGAAGCACCGATGAAGAGATAGCTGTTATAAATAATAGCAATCATCATGTTGATGCTACGTAAGCCCCAGGCTCTGACTCGAGCTGCCCAACTCCCTGCTGGCCAGTAACTTTTGGAGACCTCAACTCCTCCGCTAGGACATAGGGACAGGGATAGTAATACAGCCTACTCATGGGTAGGACTCATCTATGGGGCTGGGAGGCCTTAATAAGCTGTAAGCCTGTTCTGCAGCAAGATTCAGCCCTCCTTTGGTCCTGAGGTAGATGACCAGAAGGCCTCTGGATCACAGGAAGTCTTTCATTTTTTTAATGCTTTCAGTCATTATTATCTGTGGGGGATGGGTGGGTGCATGTGTGTGGGTGTGCACTTGCCAGGGTGAGCATATGGAGGTCACAGGACAACCTTCGGGAGCTGGTTCTCTTCTTTTACCATATGGATCCCAAGGATCCAACTCGGGCTTGGTGGCAAGAGCCTGTACCTGAGATGTGTCACTGGCCACACGGGGGTCTCGGAACCATGACCACATTCACTCTAGCTGTTTGTTGGACAGGTCGATTTCTTGGTTAAAATTTTGTTTCAGACCTTGAGGCCCATTTTGTAGGAAGGGACATCTCCTTTTTGGTCATTGATATAGAAGAATTTTTTTTTTTCTGATATTGAGAACCAGGAGAGTAGCCACCCTTCGGAAGAACAGTATCAGGCTGGACACTGAATTGCTTTTGTCCTGAGTGTACTCTTTAGGGCTAGGGGAGGCCCTTCTCGAGAGAGGTCTGTGGATACCACGGCCTCTGCTTCCCTCCTCCCAGCTGCTAGGCCTCCTGTTGCCAGGAATGAGTCTGAGTGAGTGTAGCTCCCTCCCAGGCTAAAAGCTCCAGAGAACCTCTGCTTTCTTCCTGCACCGAAATCCAGCCGCACTGTCCAGGCTGCCAAACTGGCTTTTTCAAAAACATTTCTGTTTTCCCCCACATGAGCTCATCAGTCTGCAATGTCCGTGAGTACTAATAGCAGGCTCAAGAGGATGTGCCCTGGGCAGCCCTCCCCGCCCTGTCCTCAAGTGTCAGTACCATCTGCCGTGCAAGCGGCGCAAGGCCACCTTCCTCTCCAGCCTGTCCCATCGCCCGATGTGGCACGATAGCATTTTGATGGCGGACAGACACAGGTGGGAGGGATGGGGATAGCACCCAGCACATCATGCTTACCACTGCAACCTGCTCGCCCACAAGAAATGAGATCCAGCTCTTGGCCACAACATTAAAGGGACCCAAGAATGACTGGGAAACATGACTTTGAAACTTCTGACCACATCATAGGAGGCCCCCCTCGCTCTCCACCTTGATATGGTTTCCTGCCTTTTTGAGCACCAAAGTGCTTTATTCTGTCGTCTTCCCTTGCCAGCTCAGTGGTTTGATGGAGCTGGGTGTTTATTCAGTGTTCGAAGTTTGGAAACAGATGTGGGGGCCTCAATGGCTCATGGCTTTCTAGCTCCGTTGAGACCCAAGCTAGACTCCAAGCTGCTGCCTTTGGGGTGCTTATCCAGGTAGGTGCCAAATAGGGCTCCCCCCCCCCCGACACCCGATGGAAGATCAACCTTCCAACCTAGACCCTCATTTACAGTCTGGGTGTACAGGCATTTGGGGCAGCCATCCCAACACTTTCTCATCCTGTAGCATCTGAACGTTGAGATGTATTCACCTTTCAGAAGGTACATTTTTCTCTTAATAAGCTAAAGAAAGCCTGGGAGTAGCTGAGGTGGCTCATGTTTGTATCACAGCAGTAAGTCACATGACAACCACCTGTTTCCATCAGAAGCTAACATTTGATTTCTCAAACTCAATCCTCTGACTGTCTCCAATCCCCTCCTCCTCCTTTTCACTTTTCCTTGGGCATATGAAGATGTACATGTGTCTTAGTTAGGGTTTCTACTGCTGTCATAAAACCACTATGGCCAAAAAGCAACTTGGGGAGGAAAGGGTTTATTTCCGCTTACAATTCTCAGGACACACTCCATCACTGGAGGAAATCAGGACAGGAACTCAAGGCAGGAACCTAAAGGCAGGAGCTGAGGCAGAAGCCATGGAAGTGTGATGCTTACTGGCTTCCTCTCCATGGCTTGCTCAACCTGCCTTCTTATACCATCCAGGACCACCTGAGCATGGTGGTCCTGCCCAAAGTGAGCTGTGGGTCTTCCCCATCAATCATTAATCAAGAAAATGCCCCCACAGACTTGTTTACGAACCAGTCTGGTGAGGACATTTTCTCAATCCAGGTTCTTTCTTCCCAAATGACTCTGGCTTGGGTCAGGTTGACAAAACACTAGCCAGCCCCACATGTGAGTATAGATGTAGTGTGTGTACATGTTTCAATGTGTGTGAGTGGAGGCCGGAGGTCAACATCCGGTGTCGTTCCATGGGAGCAATCCACTTTGTTTTTCATGTTGTTTGTTTTGGTTTTGGAAACAGAATTTCTGATATGCTTGGAGCTCACCAATTAGGCAGGGCTTGTTGACTAGTGAGCCTCAGGGACCTGTCTTTGCCCCTTTCATGCAGGAATTACAAGACTTTGCCACCATACCTGGCTTTTCTTAAACATGGGTCCTGGGGATCGAACTCAGGTTCACACGCTTGCAAGACAAGCGCTCTACCACCTCCTTATCCTCCCTGCCCCCTCTTTTAGAGAACTTGCTGTCTAAATTTATTGTGAACTGGGTTTTGTTTGTACAAAATCTTTACAACCAATCTAGAAAATTCAAGTTATTACTCTAACTAAGCGATCTTGCCTGAGTTAAGGATTTAAAAATCTGTGGGCAATGCTTATTAAATGCCCTCCATGATGCTGACTTGTAGGCTCTGGACTTGCAATATGTATTATCTCATTTCAAAATCAGGAAGTTGAGGTCCAGAAAAAGTAAGCACCCTGTCCAAGGCCGCCCACCCAGAGGTAGAAATCCAGGATGGGAGACAGATGGTTGTCACATCGTGAACTTTCCCACAATGCCCCATCCATGTCCTCTCCCTTACCATATCACAGCAAGGAGCCAAGAACAGACAGATCCCTAGCTTCAGGCATGGATGTGCTCATGCTCTTGGGCAGTTGACAGAGCTGGGGTCCTTTGGACAATCTGGAGAATGCTAGGCTTCCCCTTGGAAAACGAAAGTACCGACTCGGATGCCAGTCCACAGGGGCCAAAGGTACAGGGTGCTGGGTGTCACGTCAGCCTCCAAGTGGTTGATGCCGCAGGTAGGACTCTGGCCTCAGTCAGACCTAGCCAAGTTCTGTCATCTCCAGTAAGTCTGGGTCCTCCCTCCTCAGGGACACCGTCAGGATCACCCTGCCGAGTGCATAAGAGAAAGCCGGACTGTCCACCAGTTACCACCTGGACAACTGCCGTGGGCTGCTTAGATGAGTGCCATGTTCCCGATTCCCTTAACTCACACACCAGGCCCAAGAGGGTGCAAACGTTGACATCTTCACGTTACAGCAGAGCTAACTGGGGTGGAAGACATCTGGGGGCTCAACCAGCATCAGTCACGGGAGACTGCCCCACGACTAGGGGATGGCTCGGTCCGCACAGAGTTTGCTGCACAAATACAAAGACCCAAGTTTGAATCCTTGGCACTGCTTAAAGAGCTTGAATCCTCAGCATCGCTTAAAGAGCTGGGCACGGCAGGGTGTACCTGTAAATCCCAGGGCTGGCTGGGGAGATGGAGACAGGAGGATCCTTGAGCCGCCGGACCAGCCAGTCTAGCTAAATAAGTGAACGCCAGGCTCAAGGAGACACTGTCTCAGTAAGTAAGGTGCCAAGCGATTGAGGGCATGTCTACATGCATGAACACCCATAGGCACATGTGTCCGTGCACACGTGAACATGTACACATCCGGACACACCACCCACACAGGAAATGGTTGTTTATTTTGGTTGTCTCTGAAGCAAAGGTCAGACAGAAGAGCCCTGAATATCTTAGGCCTTCCAAATGCCTAGGGATGCCTAAGCGGTGATGGCTGAGATGGCTGAAGTCAGTGCTGGCTGGCTGGTCAGCCTGAAGGAGTCACCGGGTCCTGTTGTGAGTGTCTGCTCCTTCATCTTCTAATGGGAGCAGAGACATCCAGTATGTGATAACACACAGGCAATTGCTCTGGGGATAAAGCCCTGGGTAAGGAATGAGGAGGCACCTCCCTTCCTCTCTCTAGCATCCTCTAGCTCCATAGACACTTCAGCAGGAATCCAGCCCCAGGCAACGCATCGGGTGGATACTTCCTGCGAAGCCGGATAACTGGAAGTTTCGGAGTAGTGCTCCACAGAACTGCTTGTGTGAGGGACAAAGGGGTCTCTTTCACCCAGGCTAGAAATAGAAAAGAATCCCAACATTGAGCAGCGGCACCCTGGCCTGGGTGACCGCCTCGTCCAGTCAGCTTGCCCCCCCTGCTCTGTTTCCGCATCCGGCCTGCAGCCTGCTTGGAAAGCATTGCATCTTTGTGCTGGCGGCTTGACCCTCGTGAGCTCCATCATTCTTTCCACTGCCACACCAACCAGCTCAGCTGAGAAGGAAAAGCCCACATCTCCCCTTTCTCTTTTGTTAGAAGAAACCGCCCTGTTGGTAGCCAAACTTCTGGAAACTCCATGGGGTGCACGAATGTACGTGTCTGGATGGTACAGTGGAGACTGCTCTGGAGGGACTAGGTGGCTCCTAGCACACCTTCAAATGAGCAGCAGGGAGAGAATGCCCGTACTTCACCAGCCCTGACTCAGGCACCAGGCAAAAAAGGCTGGCCAGTCCTGGCCAGTAGGGGACAGGTCCATTTCATTGTAGAGGCAGGCTTTCTGAAGTGGCATGTAGGGACTGAGGTGTAGAGCTATGCCCTGGGGTTACGTTTTCTCCTTCACCCCTCTACTTAACCACCGGAAGATAAAAGAAAACTGTGTCTACCAAAGGAGCCGTCTTGTTCTTGCAGACCCTGGAGACCATGGACACCGGCAAGCCATTCCTTCACGCCTTTTTCATGGACCTGGAGGGCTGTATTAAGACCTTCAGATATTTTGCCGGGTGGGCAGACAAAATCCAGGGCAGGACCATCCCCACAGGTGAGCCTGCCCAGGATAGACTGTAGCCTCGCTTGGGTCTCCTGTGGAATCTGTCTTCTCCTCCCCCCAGGCCCTTTCCCCATGGGGCCTCCTTCTCAGAGCCCTCTCCCCACATGGCGACATGCAGATGCCTCTAGGGAATTCTACTCATGTTTTCAACTTAAGCTCAAATCATTCCGCTGTGTAAGAGAGAAGACCCCTGCAGGTGTCTCCATTTCTTTCTTTCAGTTTTACCATGTGGAATTCTTTTGTGTTTGTTTGTGTTTTTGTTGTGGTGGTGGGGTTGTCTTTTTGTCTTGGCTTTTGTGTTTTTTTGAGGCAGAGTCTTTCTATTATATAGCTTTGGCTGTCCTGGAACTTGCTATATAGACCAGGCTGACCTTGAACTCCCAGAGATTCACTTGCCTCTATCTCCCAAGTCCTGGGATTAAAGGTGTACACCTCCACCAAGCATAGGTCCGTGTGAAATTCTTAACCATGATCATGTTCTTTTCCTGGGTCGCCTCTTTTCCAGATAACAATGTTGTGTGCTTTACCAGGCATGAGCCCATTGGGGTGTGTGGAGCCATTACGCCGGTGAGTGTGGGACTTTCCCGTCACAGACTGATTCTGCCCACTACAACCACCCCTGACTGAGTGCAGGCTGGGGGCATGGGGCTCTGTGCCTGAGGGTGCCTGTGAGGGTACCCGTGATTTAGGGTATTTGGCAAGGGGCGCAGTAGATTCCAGCAGAGTGGTCAGAAGTGGCCTGCTCCTTTGGGATGGAGAGTCTCTTAACTGGAGCTGGAGAATAGGAAAGTTTGGTCAACAGAGAAGAGGGCTTTGCAGGCCGTGGGACCTGCCTGGGCAAAGGCATGGGTTGGCAGCCTCCTTGGAAGGAAGCGGAGGAAGGCTGGTGAATGGGAGCTTAGGCTAGGATGAACACACCTGGCAGATAGCAGAGCCCATTTCTGCAGCCCAGGATGCCAGGCCGCTGAGACCTGCGCGTGATGGGGGAACTCAACAATACCAATCTGTTTGGGAAGCCCCGGGCCACTTCCACAGCAACTGGGTGAATGAGGATGAAAGAGACGAGGAAAATGTCACCCCTTTGGCAAGCATTTTTGAGAGAATGGGAAGATCCATAGGATAGAACTTTCTCTGCATTAGCATCTCCAGGGTGCAGCTGAGCAAGCCCTGGGCTTCTGTAGTCTTACACATGCCAATGCTATCCTTCGAGGCCCAATCCAGACCATGCAAAGGAAGTGTCCTCCACAGAGCAGGGTGGGTCTGGGGTTGGGGGCACAGTGGACCTGAGTCTCATGGTCCCCTTCTTGTACTCTGGCACAGTGGAACTTCCCCCTGCTGATGCTGGCCTGGAAACTGGCTCCTGCCCTGTGCTGCGGGAACACCGTGGTCCTGAAGCCAGCTGAGCAGACACCCCTCACCGCCCTGTACCTTGGCTCTCTCATCAAAGAGGTAAGAAGTCTGAAAAGAAGATATTATGTATTCCAGATAGATCCCCATACCCAGGAGCAAGGCACCATGAAAATCTGTGACAGCAGCCATCAGCTCACAGTGCAGAGGGAAGGGCATGACTCTTTTTGCATGGAGTAGCTAATCTGAAAGCTGCTGTTCCTCCCCACCATCCTAAAAAGATCCTGCTCCTCTCATTAAGTCGCAAACTGACAGCACTCTGTTTTATCTAGAGCATTTGCAGGAGGGAGCCAGAAAAGGAAGCCCCAAACTCCACAGGTCCTGGGCTCAGTGGCCATGAGATGTGAAAAGGTTCTTCCTCCTCTGGGAAGGGTGGCCTGGCCAGCTAGCCAGCTAGCTGCAGCTGTGCGTAGGTCCCCAAGAGCCTCCACACTGCCCTCCCCACCCCAAGGGAGCCACAACTCAGGGAAGCAGTGGCCTAGAGGGACACCTGCCAGACACACCTGGCAGCATATTTCAGCCATTCCATCATCAGCATGCATATAGCAAAGATTGAAGGAACAAGAAAGGCCACCACTTTGCTCCCAGCCGGACTGAGGTGGCTGGGAAGTACCCGCTGTACTGCTGAGGGAGGCTGGGGCCTCTGGAACCAGCCGGGTCTCACCTCACCTCACTGGCCACATACTCATCATGTAAAAGAGACTCTAGGGTTCCAACATCACAACTGTCACAGAATTGTGTCTGGGAAACTAAGATTCAAACATTGTGCCCTAAAACGGCATTTTAAAAATAAAGTCACAGACAAGACCCAGCTGTGTTGGGAACAGCACCTTCTACCCCATTAGGTTGGGGAGAGTCTTGTTAATGGGAGGTCTCCCATATGTGCCCTGCATGAGTGTGAGTATGGAAGAATCAGCAGCCCCCTGCCTCAGCAAGTGTCAATCCTGGATGAGTCCAGTGGGACTAGCAAGGGGAAGGATTTCTCATTTTACCTGGATGCGGGTGGGGCAGAGTAAGAACCCACATTGGCTTGGCAAGGGCACAGATGCTCTAGACGGGGGTGTGACCAAGGTACTGCTCCTTCCATCAACATACACACACACACACACACACACACACACACACAGTCACGTATGTTCTCATATTCCCATGTTTACACATACAAGCACACACAGATCACATATGATCACTCACACACATACAGGTGCACCCATTCACACACTCATACTCATACATTCATACAAATACACACTCTCCCACAAATACACATATGTGCTTCCACATTCCCATGCTTTCTTACACCCACACGCACATATTCACAGACACAGTCTCACATATGCACATTCACATTCACATGTATACACATACAGACATACAAGCACACACACACATACATGCACACACATTCTCCCCAACACACACATACACACACACACACACACACACACACACACACACACACACACACACACACACACACACAGAGGCAATCTTATACAAGAGGGCTACTGCCACCTAGTGGCAACCCTGAGCCTTTGCCCCTGAGCCCTGCTAGGGTGAGAGGCTCTTGGGGGTGGGGGGGATGATCAATTCGCCTCAATGTTTGCACTCCTAGCTTGCAGAAGAGGATTAGGAGGCGGGTGTGGGAGGGGGCGATGCTGATGTGGGTGTGTCCCGGCCAGTGTGTGACCCAGCTTCCCTTTGAGGATGCTGCTCTGCTCGGGACATCACACAGCTACAACTCCTGCCACCCCTGCGGGTGGGTCTGCAGCTGGTGCTGGTGCTGTCCCTTGGATCCTTCAATGCCATTTCTGTACCTCCCAGGTCGGGTTCCCTCCGGGCGTGGTGAACATCGTGCCAGGCTTTGGGCCCACAGTGGGAGCAGCAATCTCCTCTCATCCACAGATCAACAAGATAGCCTTCACGGGGTCCACAGAGGTAAACCCTCTTCGGGAGCTGCTGGCAAACACAACCAGCACTCTGTTATTTGAGACCCACAGACATTTCCTTGAGAAGCTCAAATACGATTCTTTTCCCCCTGAATCTAACAATGTTCTAACTATTAGTAAAATGTCACTGTTCCAGTTTCCAAACTAAATAAATAGTTAATAGAATGTGGAAGCCTTAAAAAAAATAAATGAGAGATAAGATAAAATAAAAATGTAAAACATCTGTATAGTCAACACTATCATAAGTAAGGCTGAGAGATGATAAACGGGCTGTTAGAAAACCAGTTGTACTGCATGTAGCTCTTCAAATGTTTATACATCCTTCATGTGAAAAGTCAATGAAGAAAAAAAAGAAGACCGCAGAATGACGGGAGAAACGGACTTCCCTGAGATATCTAGTCTGGCTAGAGCCTGCTACCCCACCCTGTCCTCCCCTTTGGCAGCCAGGGTGAGCATCCTCAGAGACCCTAGTCACAATTAGACCACAGCCTACAACCACCGTTCCCCTGCACGGCATTAAACAGTCCTGGCACTGTGCACACTGAGCTACCCAGCTCTAAGTTGTGGGATCTGCCCTGGTCTCCTGGGTCTTTCCCAGCTCGGAAGTTCTTGGTGTCTGGCTAAACTTGTTACCAGGATGGGTCTGGAGGCATGCTAGGCCAGCTGTACCTCCATCTGCATATCCAGGGCACAGAGAGCCCCTGTCAGGGTATACGGGCATGTTGTCCTGTGGTACCATATCAGCTACCAGTTCTCACTCCTCCTCCCAAGGAGGGTTCAGTCTTCAAAGGGCTCCACAGAATTGGCCGCATGTCATCACAAGGATGGGCCATCTTTGCTGTTTCCCTAAATTGACAGTCCCCTCAAATCAGCATGACCTCCATATCGGGCTGGCAGAGTCTTGGCTGTCACTAGTAGGCGTGGAAGGTCACCCTCAGCAGGGTGCCCAGTGGCAGTGGCCAGCTCGGGGGAGCCGAGGCTGTGTGACAATATGATGCATCAGTGTGGGGTGTGTCACTGAGGCAGGTGACCACAGAGCCACCAGGCACAGCTCCATCTCCTGGGGCCAAGTTCACCATGTCTGAGAGTTAACAAAGCCTGATTCTTACCCTGAAGGTTGGAAAGCTGGTTAAAGAAGCCGCCTCCCGGAGCAACCTGAAGCGGGTCACGCTGGAGCTGGGGGGCAAGAACCCATGCATCGTGTGCGCCGACGCTGACCGTGAGTCACTGGGGCGATAGGTGTTTCCTCACTTCCTGGTGTGTGTTCAGGACCCATGAAAAGAGGAGCATGCTCACACAATGCGATACTCCCCTCATGGGATGGGCTGCCTGCTGTCCCCACAGGCCCAGCCTGTGGAGGGAAGAACACCAATTCTGAGATAGGTAAGCCTGTGGCTTACAGGTACTGCACAGTCAACCCCTGAAGGCTAAGATCACCTTCCTGCACCTAAGAAGGTAGAGGGGGCTGTGAGGACCCCAAAGACCAGGTCCATTTTCTCCTGTGGGGCCCTTCTGGGCTGGAGAAGGAGAAGGCAGGCTCCCCACTCTGGGCGTCCATTTTTCTATCCTTCAAGTCAGTACAGATGCAGGGCTCTCAGGCTCTTGAGAGAGTTGAAGAGTTTCTCCTTTGTCTTGGGTCTTGCTGACCCTTCAGAACACAGAATAAAAACACGCTCTGGGTGTCATTCCCGTATCACCTCTTCCCTGGGAAAGCCGCCTGCACAGCAGCTGGAAGCAACTGGTGTCTGCCAGAGCTGTATGACACAATACTAAAATGTGGGTTATTGTTGGCTGCTGTGACCAGAAGAGGGCAGAGAGGACCACACCGGGCGTCCATTCACCTGATCACTAGCTCACCTCCCAAAAGGTGTGACTCCTCAAAGACCTTAGCACACCCATGCTCTAAAGGACAGCCTCCCCCACTGTCCGCTGGTGCCAGAAATCTCTGCCACAGAGAACAAAGACTGCGGCGCCACACTCAGAGAAGACCAGGATGGCAAATAGCCCTGAGAAACAACGACCCTGCTACAGTTTCTCACTAAGAGGTGAAGGACGGGGAGCAGTTCCGGTCCCTAAGGCTGGTTTTCAGTGGGAGAGAACAGTGAGGAAGAAAGCCAGGGAGACTGTGGAGAGGGACTGCCCGTCTCTCGCCTGAGCAATGTTGCTGCTGGAGTCACTTGGAACAGTTTTAGATGTTTCCCTACTGTGACTCGCATTCGGGGTCCCAAACTCCCATCCCAAAGACCCAGGGCTGCTTTGTGCTCTTAGGCCACCACAGTGGGCGTCCCACCTGCTGTCCACTCCGTGACCCGAACCCTGACAGCAAAGCAGCAGAAACAAGCTATGTCAGGGCTGGTTTTCCAGGCTCTCGGAAACAGAGCCTGCCCCACCCCCACCCCCGCCTCCTCCTCCAGGCAGTGCCATTCCACAAAATGAAATCCTGACTTAATGTCCAGGGTGTCACACACCATTCTGCCACTTCGGTCATCCTTCCTGACTCTCATCAGGGACCAGGAAATGAATTGGTGTCTTGAGGAGAGGCATTTGAGCCTAGCTCCGGGCCCAGCTGCAGGGGTGAGGTGCAGAGAGCCTCGTGAGACTGTCCTGTTACAACCCTGCTGGGGTGCAGTCCCTCCAGACTGTCCCCAGTTTCGGACAGGAAAGCTGGGGTGGAGGTTCCATGGACAGATGAGTTGGAAAGTCTTCCGGCTCTGCGCTCATTAGCATATTAATGGCGCTGAGAAGTCTTGCTCTTGGACTCACTCAACTCAGACTTGATGGATCTAAAATCCCTCCCCCCTCTCCTCTCCTTTGGGAAGCGCTGAGAAAGAAAAATTAGTTTCTGAAATGCAGTCATCTGGGGCCTGTTTTCTTGTGGGGGCAATTAGAGCTGCAGCTGTCGCCAGGGCCTGCTGTAACAACTTAATCGCTTCCTCTCGCCTCCCCCGACCCCCAGTGGACTTGGCCGTGGAGTGTGCTCACCAGGGAGTGTTCTTCAACCAAGGCCAGTGCTGCACGGCGGCCTCCAGGGTGTTCGTGGAAGAGCAAATCTACGGAGAGTTTGTGAGGAGGAGTGTGGAGTACGCCAAGAAGAGGCCAGTTGGAGACCCCTTTGATGCCAAAACGGAGCAGGGGCCCCAGGTAACCACCAACAAACATGTCTTCCCGTGTGGTGCTCCACTGGGGGCTGAGCTAGGCACAAGTATGACCACAGACAGGTTGCCCCTCCAAGGAAAAGAGCTAGCGTGTGCTGTCACTCAAGGCTTTCACTAAGAAGCTGATGAACTTGGGTTTGTCAGGAAATGGAGCTGTAGTAGACTGGAAGAGGGAGGAGCCAGTGGACTGAGGCACAAGGCTATCTGTGCATACCCTGTAGCCCTCTTGATATGGTCACCTTCAAACCCTGGGGACAGGTCACGTAGAGAGTTTTCTTGAACCCTGCAGAAGAGGGGTACAGCCAGGGCACTGACTGACAAGTCTTGACTCAGGGGCCCCCAAGGCCATGTGCCTTACCTCATGAGATAACCCTCGGGAACCAGAGGGCAGAGAGACTCTAGGGCCTGGACTATATCCTGGGCAGTGGGAACAGGTTTCTGCCGGCCTGGTTTGGGAAGCCTGGACAGGATGCAAACGGCGGTGGTAACCATGAAGTTTAATAACATTTGCAAAGGGCACGTCCTATGTGACTTTCTTGCTAATGGTAAGTGAAGCTGATGGACAGATATTCAAGAGGGCGGCCTGGCCACCCCTGCACTATCGGACCAGACCACGGCGGCAGCTCTCTGCTTTTTGCCAGACTTCTGCTCACCTCTCAAGTTTCTAGTCATATCCGTGACTTAACCCACCACTGTCTATCCCAGAAGTTCACTGTTGACTACTGAGTTGGCACCAAATGTTTACACAGGAAGCTGCTGAGCTCAAACTAGACTCTGGGGCTTTGTTCCTTCCAGTCCTCAGTTTCCTCATCTGGAAAATGGAAGCAGTAGAAGGTGTCACATCACTAGGAAGTGCTCAACAGAGGGAATTTGTCCTAAGGCAGAAGCACTGACTGGCAGTTCTCTGACCTAGGAGGCACACACACATCCCTGTGTGATTTCAGGATATCTCAGTCCGTTTCACCCAACCATCCTGTGCAAATGCTGGCTAGGGAAGAAATGGAGATTTTCTGGCCAAGGTAACACCGACCCTGACCTCAGTCCATGTGCTCTGTGGCTCTGGTGTCATGTGTCCCTGGTTGGGAAGCTGTGTACAGTCCTCAGCCCCAACCTCAATCACAGACTCCGAAGTCTTGACACAAGGTAGTCAGTGGTCTCAGTGCAAACATGGCCCCAGATCAGTATCAAATCCTTAAGTTTTAGAGTTAACCCGGAATGGCTGGGGGCACACTAAGGACAGCTTTTTCTCCTATCATTCCCGTCCTTTTCTTCTCAAGTCACTTCTCAAGACAGACACTTCTTCTGGGGAGCGGGTGTCCGTTCCTCCCGGGCTCTGCTGTGCGGGGTCGCTTTGGAACTCACACTGTCTAACCTGGACTTTATGTCAGGATCCTGTTGATGTTCTTCCTCCTTCCAAGACCTTTAAGGTTTCACTCGGCAAGGATCTCCAGCTGCCTAAACACTCCTGTCTGTCTCAGGCCTGTGGAAGAGCTCGCTGACCTAGATCGGGGGCCAGGGCTGGAGACTGCTTGCTGGAACACTCCATCATCTTTCGGGTTAGCTTGGCAGACATGCAAGGAAGCCACCTGGCCCGTGCTCGGAATCTGGCGGCGTCCTCTGCAGAGCAAGCCCAGCCGTGGATGGTCCTGTGGGAGCCATCTTTTCCCACTTCTGGTGCCGTGCCCTGCCCTGTCACTTCACTTCCTGCCAGATCTTTCTCTTCCTGTACTGTAGGCACCAGCTGACATTTCATGGATGGCTATTAGATTTAAACAACGTGTTTATGAGGACTCATCGGGAGGAGTGGCGTCTGGGTGTGTAGGGTTCTGACAGGAACCCAAGCTGCCTGCAGAGAAGATGGGGTCTGTCAGGACAACATAGTTCCAGCCAGCCGAGACCTGAAGCCTGGTGAAGTTACTACAGTGAGCTACGTCAGCCCCCTAGGAGGAGAGAGGTTTCATAACACATGGGACTTTTTTTTTCACATTTAAAAAAATGTTTTACGTGACATTTTATTTATTTAATTTGTATGTGTATACGTTTGTGCATGATGTGTGGGGTGCACATGCCACAGTGCTTATGTGGAGACCAGAGGACAGCTCGGCAGGGCCAGCTGTCCCTTTCTACTGTGTGGATCCCTTGCCCAGCCCAGGATTGAGCTTCAGTTGTCAGACTTGATGGCCAGCACCGTTATTTGCTGAACACCTCACCAGCGCCATCTGGGACTTTTTTTTTTTCTTTTTTTTTTTTTGGTTTTTTTTTTTTTGGTTTTTCGAGACAAGGTTTCCCTGTGTAGCTTTGGAGCCTTTCCTGGAACTCACTTGGTAGCCCAGGCTGGCCTCTAACTCACAGAGATCCGCCTGGCTCTGCCTCCCAAGTGCTGGGATTAAAGGCGTGCGCCACCACCGCCCGGCTCCATCTGGGACTTTTAAGCCAAGATGTGGTTCACCCAGAGAAAGGCTGAGAGGGCTTGGAACTGTGTGTGTTGTGGTTGCTTTCGTGGCTCTTTGTGGGTGTGTCAGCACGTGGCTCTAAACCCCTAACCGTGTCCAAAGGACTACAGTGAAGGGGTTCCCCCAGCACTACCCCACCAACACCCTTTCTTACCTCTCCCCACAGTGGGGCTCCCATCTCTTTATTCCTGGAGCACCCCTCCAGGGTTTCCTTACAGGTAGGCATCTCTCTGCAAAAGAGATCATGGGGCTCCACCATTTCATTCTTTTACTACTGTTCCTTAAAAAGAAGCTCAAAGGACTTTCTGTTCTTGAAATGGGTTTATTTGCTTTTCATCCTTTTTCTATACTGCATATTGGTGGTATACGAATGTGTGTGGGTTCATGTGTGTGTGCAGCCATGCTTACATATGTGTGTGCATGTGCTATAGGTTTGTGTGGAGGCCAGAGGTCAAGGTCAGGTTCTTCCTTTTTCGCTGTCTACCCGAGTCTTTGAGAGAATTATAGGTATGGGTCACCATGCCCAGTCTTTTCGGTGGATTCCAGAGATCTGAACTCAGGTCCTTAAGTTTACTGACTGACCCTTCTCTTCAGCCCTGAATTTTTTTTTCCTACTTAATGTTACTGGGATGGGACCAAGTCTCCTGTCTAAACGTCACAGTAACAGTGTATTTGCTTAAGCTCCATCTCCCTCAGCCTGGGAGGGAGGGCACCGTCATCTGGGTCACGATAAGAGCATTGGGATATGAGGAAGGAGGATATGAAGAGGACAGGAAGAGCATCTTCCACGTTGAGCCATCCCCCGGAGGGGTGGCCTTTTGACAGAGAGTTGAGTACTGTGTCCCACAGCTGTGTGCTCATCTGTGGCTTGTGGCATAGGGCACCTTGCAGCCAACGAGGAGGTAGCAGAAGGCAGAACCTTTCTGAGTTCGTTTCCTTCCAACCAAGAAGCAGCATCCGTGCTCTACCGTGAGACTCACTCCACTGTCCCCAGGGATGCTGCATCAAATGCTCAGTCCTTCCTCCCTCCTCTGCACTGTGATGGGATAAGTCCAATAAGTACCCACCCCCCATCTGTGGTGCACAGGTAAATAGTGAGACCACTAGACTTGACTTTTAGACAACCTGGAGGCATCTTAACTTAAGTATCTCCCAAATGCTGTTTGGTGTATACTTACAATAAAGCGATCATGTGTTGTATTTCTGATAGTCACATTTAGCTGGGCATCCTGTGTTTTTACTTGTGAAATCCAGTAATTCTAGCAGCATGCCAAGAAAGACCTAAGAGAATGCAACCATTCCGGAACCCATTTTACCCTTACACTTGACCTCTCAGCATAAGGAGGGGAGTTAGACATATGCATAAGGCCTCAAGCTGAAGGTGAGAACAGCCGACCTTCCCGTGGCCCCCAGTTCCAAAGAGCCCAGGTTTGTGCATGGGAGGACTATCTGCCCATAAGGCCACCTGTGTGCTGATCTAGGACTTGACAAGGACACAGAGCAGAGGACCACTGATGGTGCTCGGGGCCATTAGAACTACAACAGTCCCCTCCTGGAAGGAAGTGCTTATAATTCCCTTCTGTGTTTTGCAGATCGATCAAAAGCAGTTTGACAAAATCCTCGAGCTGATCGAGAGTGGGAAGAAAGAAGGGGCCAAGCTAGAATGTGGGGGGTCAGCCATGGAGGACAGAGGGTTGTTCATCAAACCCACTGTCTTTTCAGATGTTACCGACAACATGAGGATTGCCAAAGAGGAGGTAGGTGTGGCTACAGCCAAAACTGGGGCCCCAGGCAGGGGTCCTCCAAAGAATTCTTCTGAGGCCCCAGGAATCTCGGAAACCTTCACAGGACTAACAGCTCCATTTCTGAGTGGCCATGCTGTCCTTTGGGGCTCTGGTGCCCCTGGTGAACCTCAAGGCCTGCAGCAGATACAATTGCTACAGCCCAGTTTCTGTCCTGGTTCATGGTCTCCGGGCAGCCACAGTCCATCTCCAACTCATGCACAGCCCAGGTCCAACACCTCTTAACCTGGTGGGTATTACCAGGCACCAAACTATGGATTTGGGACCTGTGGCTGCTTCACACTCTTCAGACTGTCCTTAAACAAGTGTCCTTCAAGGAATGTGTCCCAGCTGTAATTCTCATTGACCTTTCTGCCACAGAACCTTTCTGTTGTTCTGGAGAATGATGGAGATAAAGCAGGCCCCCCGTAAAAGCGGAAATCTCCCTTTGCCTCTCAGTCCCAACATTAGACACATGGTGGCTGTTCCTGCACAGGATCAGTCAGAAGCCAGTCTGAGGCTGAATGACTAGACCTTTAAGAATGTCCGTGTGAGGGGTGGGCATGGGCTTCCCTGTAAGGAGGTTATCTGGTACTTTTCTTTGAGGTGTTGAAAGGCTTCTCACCTCTCTGTGGTAGTACAGAGCTCAGATCTTTATGCACTTCTTTTTAAAACGATTCTTTCACTGCTGTTGCTGTTTTGCACACTTCTTGGTGAGATGCCCCAAGGAAGCGGAGAAGCCGTTTCCAGAGACTGCGCCCGCTGTCCTGGCATGTAATCTGGCCCAGGGTTGAATCAATCACAAGCTCCCTTCAGAACCCTTCGAAATGGGCAACCCCATGGCTCCTCTCTCCCTCTTCTTTGCTGCCTGACCACTGGGCCCTCCCTTCCCCTGGGACTCACTACAGAAACAGTTTAAGTATCTTCATTAATGGACAGAAAAAGACACCAGTGGTCATCCACCCATGGACACCCTTCTAGAGGACTTTCCAAAGAGCTAGCCAATGGTTTTCCTTCTGCATACCCTGCTATACATGGGTTTTCCCAAGGCTCTGAGACTGACAGCATTCAAAAACAGTGCTAGCATGGAGGGATCATAAATGCAGTGTATATATTTTTGGGCTATCTTCCATTTTTGTTCTGTCTTAATCCCCTCGTTCAAATTCAGCCATTGCATAGTTATAGAGGTCTCGGGGGTTCTTTGTCTTGGGGGGAGGAACTCTGAAACTATGAAAGCTGGGTGCCTGACCAGGGCACACAATCCCCTCCTCACAGGCCTCCTCCTACTCTCCTTGTAATTGATTACAGATTTTTGGGCCAGTGCAGCCAATACTGAAGTTCAAAAATCTCGAAGAAGTGATCAAAAGAGCAAACAGCACTGACTACGGACTCACGGCAGCAGTGTTCACCAAAAACCTCGACAAAGCCCTGAAGCTGGCTTCGGCGCTGGAGTCGGGCACAGTCTGGTGAGCCAAGCATGTGTAGCGAGCATTTGCCTTCTCTGAGCCCCTGGCTTGCTGGCTTCAGTTTTCCTTCACGTGATGCGCTCTCCCGGTTTTGAGTGCCTTGCTGACTGTCCTCTGAAATGGGTATCCTATGGCCTTAAGTCCTTCGTTATTCACATGAGGAAATCAAGGCATAAAGAGAGATGGAGTGACTTGTCCAGCATCACAGAGCTAGTGCAGTCGGCCCTCCGTGTTTAACTGCAGAGGATTCAGTCCTTGCTGAGAGGCCCAAGTCTATGGCCACTCAAGTCTCTCGTGTGTACAGATAGCTTAGGAACATCCTCCAGCTTGCCTGCTTATTTGTTATTATTTATTCATATATATATACATATATTTGTACCATACTGGCACTCTGGCTCAGGACCTGGAACATACATACTAGAAAGGCATTTTTTCACAAAGATATACGCCATCCCTCCTGCATACTTCAAAATCATCTACACGCTTTTCAACACCTAATACAAGGCTGTATTGATATTTACTGTACTGTACTATTTGTGCAGAAGAATAATTCTGCACAAAATCTTTGGGTCTGAAGGAGGTTGAGCCTGAGGGTGCAGAGCCTTTGATTAGCAAAGGTCACGGGACATAGCCGAGGAGGCTGCAAAGCCTGAACCTTTGACAACTGTGTCACACTGCCTCTCTGATTGTGTCTCTGGTGGATACTAAAGACAGCACATAACTAACCTGCAGGGTATGGATGCTTATCTCTGTGCACTGATAACTCCGCAGTTTGGATACTCGTGCCCATCTTCCAGATGAATGAAGTGAGGCTCAAAGAGGTTGAACAAGCTTAGGGTCACGTGCATCGTCTAGGAAGCAGAACTCTGAGGTCTGGCCGGCATCGCTGCACAGCTAACTCAACCCCTGGCTCGCTTCCTCTGTATTTTCCAATTGTAGTTTCCAGCAGGAAGAAAGGTAGCAGATGTAAAGAGCATAAGGGGTGTGCTGTGTTCAAGTTATGGGGACTTTGCCCAAAGGCCGGACGTTGGGCATCACTGTGCCTCCAGTATCTCAAGATGCAGGCAAGTGTTCTCCAGGTAACCGGATCGCCTCTCACCCTTTCTCTAGGGTCAACTGCTACAATGCGTTCTACACACAGGCTCCGTTTGGTGGCTTCAAGATGTCTGGAAATGGCAGAGAACTGTAAGTGTTTCTGACCCCTCACACTCCCCTCTTCCATGAAGGCTGGTGGTCCCTCAGTGGAGACTGCTCAGGATCTGTCCCTTCTTTCCACCCTTGCACCCCCCTGAGCCCCAGAACCAATCTGCAGCCTCAGCTTCTTGCCCTGCCTGGCGCCATCACCCTAGGGACATTCTACAGTTCTTTGGCCTAGGATAGCGGCATGAGGGCGTGGCAAATGAGGGTCTTAGGACACATATCTCCACTTTGGGCAGAGAAGGCAGGCTGGCTCAAGTCAGGCTCTAAATCTGCCCACCTTTGCTTTCAGAGCCTGGCACTAGCTTTGAGGTCATACCGTGGGTGATTCTGCTTCCTCCTGGATACTTTTGTTGTTGTTGTTTTTTACGGGGCTGTGCTGTGCCTCCATGGCTCCAGCAGAACATTCTGGGCCTGAACAAGTTTCTCCGTGTCTCTTTCCTGCCTGGCCTCCTAAGATTCATGGACGGGCCATCTTGCCTCTGGCTCAGGCCAAAAGCTGGGTGGAGATGCTGAGGTCCCCAGCCACATGCTGGCATCTCTCTCCATTCCCCCTTCCTGGGTTTTATTAGCCAGTGTGGACAAACATCTTGGTAGGCACAATGTTCCCGGGGAGCCATCTATGACAACACCCCAAGGCTGTTCCTGGACGTTTCTGAGGGCTTGTGTTCTCCCTTTTGTTTAAATAGTTTGTGTCGTTTATATACAAATGCTTTACCTTCTCCACATCTGCACTTGTCGTCAGAGCAGACACTGGGCACTTTTCCTCAGCCTACGCCTCAGTGGGGACACTGAGCAGCTCCGCTTGTAGATCCTTGAGCCTGTTACAACAGGGAGATGCTGGCTTCCACTGGCTCTTGGCTCTGGTCTACATGGAATTGGGGCCCCTTATGCCACCTCAGCTCTGTTCAGACCATCCCCAACGCATGACAGATGCTCAGGAGTCATCTGTGCACATGAGCAAAGACCACAGAGTGACCTTCGGTTCCCACCTTGGTCCTATGACTGCTTCTCCTGCACTAACTTACTGATTCCTGGCCACAAAGACCTGTGGCAGGAGCCTGGTGCTCCTTTGGCAGCCTGTTATGTTTGCCGTTTTGGAGTCTCCGATTCGTGGTCTCTCAGAGGAGCCTTTTGGCTGAGGCTGGGAGGCCAGAGCTAGGGTCACCTGAGGTCCTTCCAGGCTCCTCCAGTAGTAACAAGGCTGGTGACAGCTGGCATTTGCTGAGCACAGGCTCTAGAAGGTTTTGTGAGAGCCCCTGAAATGTCATTCATGTTCTTGTGGAGATGGTTCGTGAGAGGGGATAACAGCTTTCAAGGGACAAAACAGACCCAGGAGGCTAGCAGGTCATAAGAGTTAAGAGTAGGGCTGGAGAGATGGCTCAGCCATTAAAGGTTAGGCTCACAACCAAAAGGACAAGAGTTAAGAAGAACACTGGCACACTGACCTTTGGCTTCCCGTAGCCCAGGGCTTGCAAGGCAGAGACCACCTCTACCTTGTTGGTGTTTTGAATTTTGTTTTGGGACGTTTAGTTTTTTGTTTTGCGGTATGAGAATTGAACTTAGGTCATCCAGCATGTGAGGCAAGTTCTCTACCACTGAGCTAACCCCTGCCCTAGGAGTCATCTCTGTAAGCCACTTCAGATGAAGCCACCAGAGCTCATGTGGTGACGTGTCTCCTCTGGTCCTCTGTCTTCAGCCAGGCGGGTTGTAAGGACGGAGAAACTCAAATCCCTCACAGTCTTCCTTCTGGAGGCTGGGAGGCAGCAAGCACCCCAGTCCCCTAAGGAAAGGTCATTGAAGGACACAGTGACTGGAAGGCGTATGGGGGACACCTGTTGCCTGGCCTTCCCTAGAACCACTGTGGATGCACTACATAGCTTTCTTACCTGGGCCATTCCTATCCCTGGGTGTGGTTCGTGGTCCCTATGCCTGCCACGGAGTGGCGTGGTAAGCTCACAGACCTCGGTCATGTTTCATCCTGACAACTGTCCTGGGGACTTTCTTGAATGGCTGGTTTGTTTTTGGATCTTTGGCAATACATTCTCCCAAAGTTTTTTTTTTTTTAATGATGAAATATTTTCAGATCATTTGTAAGGAGCCTGGAAACTGCCTTGAAAAATAATTTCTATTTTCAGTTGTTTCAAATTAATGTCTCCTTGTGGCAACAAGTTCCCCTTTTCTATGCTGGAGCACCATAAGGTGGATTCCATGGTTTTCCCCAAACTAGTCACTCGGGCTGGGCTGGTTACTGGCTGTACACTCGCCAGTCCCTCCAGGATGCATTTCAGGGCTGGTCTTGGATGGAGTCTGAAAAGCCTGTTCCTCTTGGTGCATCCTGGCTCTTTGCTTTGCAGTGTAAGTTAGGCATCCAAGCCAGCCAACAAAGACTCATACGGCAGAGATGCGGCATGGTCAGACCTTCCTCCCTCCCTGGCCCTTAGTCCCACTCGTTAGAGGAGCCACTGCTTGCTCACTGTGTTCTTTTCCTCGTTAGTTCACATGGCAAATATTTGTGTGTGTGTGTGTGTGTGTGTGTGTGTGTGTGTGTGTGTGTGTGTGTGTGTGTGTTGTTGGTGGTGGGTTTTATTTGTTTGTTTGTTGGTTTGGTTTTTTCGAGACAGGGTTTCTCTGTGTAGTTTTGGTGCCTGTCCTGGAACCCGCTCTGTAGACCAGGCTGTCCTGGAACTCACAGAGATCCGTCTGCCTCTGCCTTCTGAGTGCTGGGATTAAGGGTGTGCACCACCACCGCCGCCTGGCACAAATATTTGTTTTGGTTTTGTTTTTCTAAATTAAAAAGAAATAATTTTTTTTAATTTAATGGTGGAAACAAATATAAACCTAAAACCAAAACTTCTAGAAAAAGCATTTGTTCTGGCTTGGCTTGTCTTGCTCTTCAAACTTAACCTTGGCCTCCCACCTGGCCTTGAGTCTCCCAGCTCTCTAAAGACACCCTTGCTGACAACAGTTTGTCCAAGGGCGTATCCACAGCAGACCCTGTGGGCCTGAGGTGAGTGCAGTCACACACTTCCACAAAGGACAAAGGACACTTCCACAAGGACAGGGATTGTCCTCTTGCAAGTCTTTGCTGAGGGGGTTTTACTGCTCCAAGCTTGGTGTTAGGTTCTGGGCATTTGTCAGCGGACTGTTATCAGTCCTTGTCGCCGTTGATATCCTAGGGAGGTTTATTAGGAGGAAGGCTGAGCTCCCAAATGGCTTTGGTTCCTGAGGTAGCAAAGACTGGGTGAGGGGGTGAGTGAGGACAGCGGGAACTTGAACCAGAGCAACAGATGAGGAAGGGGAAAGAAGAGTCTACAGGCTGTGTCCTGCAAGAACACGCTGACACTTCTGAGCTTGTTCAGCACGAGCTAACTCGGAAAGACTTCACCCCTTCTCTGTACAATGCTATTTGCTCATTTTGAAAGTTTAGGGTGCATTTGCTGTGGATATGCATACATCCACTCATTCTTTTCTGTTGGCTAATGTGGAAGCAAGCCACTTTTTGTCCTCAGAGATGGGTTTTGAATATCTCACTGTCTTTTAGCCACCTACAATGGACACTGGTGTTACATCCACAGGCCTTTATTATTATTATTATTATTATTATTATTATTATTATTATTATTACAAACCCTGCTTATAAGCTTCCTTGTGTATAAATATTTATACACTTAGGGTGGTGGTTCTCAGAATGAATTCCTAGAATTCCATGCTCAGCCACAGGAAAGTGTCTCTGTGTAGGTTCGAATGTCTTCAAGTGTGAGACAGTGAGTGTGCCCCTTTCACACTTACGGGAATTTGCATTTCTTCTTCTGCAAAAATGAGTGTGTCCTCTGTAGCATTTTTCCATTTGATTGATTGCGTTTCCCCTGCTGCTCTGTAAGAACGTTCAGGACATCGAAAACAGCACGCCTTCTTAAAGGTGACGTTACTTACTCAGCACAGAGTGAGGGGCCTATGTGAATTCTCTCTAGTTGGCGTCACTGAACAGGAGTGGTGGTGTTCCCATGGCACAGATGAAACAGTCTCAGGGATTTCAATCAACTTGACTCATCCACACGATCCTAAGCCCGAGTTGCTCTTATATTCAAGCAGGCATCAGAATCACCCAGGGAATTGACTGAACACAAATTTCTTTACTCTACTGAGGAAATTTCTGAAAAATCAATGTCTTAGGTGACACAAACATGTGACATCAAGCCCTACAGGATAGGTGCAGCTCTCTCTGAGCTTAAGGGAGGTGTCCTCTAGGACGCAGGCTGTGAGGACTGAGTTTCCTAGCCTTTCCCAGCCCCCAGAGGCTTACCTCATACTTGGCTGAAGGCCTCGGCCATCTTCCCAAGCAGCCCGGTGGTACCTTTTGGTGTCTTGTATCGTTTTTACTCAACTCTCTTCTTCAATTCTTAGGGACCGTTGGGCCACCCAAAGGACCCAGAAAACTCTCTATTTTAAAGTCAATCGATTAGCCACAAGAATCCCATCCCCCGCATCGGTCCTCCCTTGCTGTGCAACCTAACCCGTGCACCAGGACCGGGAGCAGGGTGTGGACATACTTTACTACTTTATCTTCCCTGTTTTACCTGCTACAGTAGTCCCGGGTGAGGCCCGGGAATCTGCATTTCTAACACGTTCAGAAGTCAGGCTGATAATGCTGGGCTGAGTAGCTCACCTGCAGGTCTCAGAGATGAGATGAGATTGGGGGTCAGATCTTTTCATATAGAGACTGGAGAGGCTATCTCTACCTCTATCTTTTCTGGAACCGGATTTTTTTTTTTTTTTTTTTTTTTTTTTTTTTTTGCAATTGCTAAGCGTGTACTATGGAGGAATTCTCCACCTAAGTTGCCTCTTGGTTCTGGGAAGGGGATCTCCTCCAAGGATGGCCCATGGTATCTAGGAAAGATCCCTGGCCCCTGTAAGGCAGAAGGGAAGGGAAAATACCAAAGATGCTAACCTGAGGGCCGTCACCTTCCTGCGCCTAGCCTGTGCCAGCGTCTGTTCCCTTCCCCTGCAGTCTGACCCAGCTCCTCTTGCAGCTGTGCCCTTCAGAGCCAGATGTCCCTGTGGCCCGCTGGCCATCTCCTCGGGCTCAGACATAGCCTTTTCTGTCTATTCAAGTAGTAACAAATGGCCACTTGAAACTTACATAGTCAGTGCAGGCCTCACACCCCAGCCCCCCCCCCCGCCCCCACCGACTCACCTGCAAAGGCCCCTCTTCTGCAGCCACCTCCCTGACCCAGAGAACTGCCCTGAGTTTATGCTCTTGTCTTCATCTCTCATGGTCCGGAAGCAAACCCTTAGTTCTTTTAACGGCTTCAAAAGCATCACACACAGGACCTTAGCACGTAAACTCACATTTCCAGTTCCCGACGCTTAACTAAGGGCATCATAGTGCCTCCTGCCCCTACTACGGGCAGGCACCACGTTGTGCTCTGTCGCACAAACCCCAGCACTCAAACTGCAACAGAGGCCTCAGGCATTAGAAGAGTTTCCCCAGAACCACGAACTGACAGTGTGAACTGCCCCCCTTTCTCTGTCGTCACAGAGGTGAATATGCTCTGGCGGAGTATACAGAAGTAAAAACTGTCACCATCAAACTCGATGACAAGAACCCCTGAAGGGCAGACCGGTCTCCTCCTCAAAAGCTGGACAGCTGTCCTTGGCGACTCCAACCTGCCACAAGCAGAAAACAGGATGACAGTGCTCATCTTCCCAGGACCTTCTCTTCGGGACACTCGGGCTACTAGAGCTTAACGGTTTTGACTTTCCCTCTCACACTCATGCTTTATGGACCAAACTGCGGGCGGCTGGCTGTTATGTGTGAAACTGCAGGCCTGCCTGGGGGAGCAACTGGTGTCCAGCTGCCATTGCTTCAGACTCCGTGCAGGACACAGCAAAGACACCCGGGGCTCTGTTAATATGAGACGGTCTCTGGAGTGTCCCGCAGTTATTTTAAATGCTTTGCTGACCCCAGGAGGAATGTGGAAAGAGCTCACGGCATGGGTTGCAAGCAGATCTGCTCTCACGGGCTCCTCGGAGTCACCTGTGCACAGAACAAGCCCCTCCTCATTCTGAGTGGGACTATTCACAAGCAAAGGATTAGTGTTGGTATGAAAGGAGGATTTCAGGGACCCCGTGTGGGGAGCTTAGGGGGAACATACTCCAAGAAAAGGCTCCAGAAGTCTTTGGTTTGCGGGGGTGCCAGTCCCGAGGACTGCATATTGACACTGACCGTGGGATTCACCTTGAAAACAATCCTGACTTTGGAATGACCAAATCAACATCCCAAAGAGTCTGCCCTACAGTTATGAGATGGTCAGTCAAAACCAAGGCCCTTCTTAGGCAGAGACCATCCTTAGTGTCACCTTTGCCCCTGACGACTCATTTTAGAACTGCCACAGCAGAGCAAACCCTGGGTGACTGAGCCGCACACTTGACACTCAGAGCCATCGTTCACTTTCACAGATCGCCCGTTTCTACCACCTTCGGCCATGGGTGCGCCCACTTCCTTTTTCCTTTCCCCAGCTCCGTTACCCGTTTTAGATGAGTAAAGGGCATGCCACTGAGAGACAGCTGTACTGCTTAGCTCCTTAGTTGTAAAGTCCGTTGGGGCTTTCATTTCTGATTGATTAACTAATAACACCCGGGTCCCATAGGGGGACCCGGTCACCAGCCAAGTGACCTGGATATTTCATTCACATTATGACATTTTTCTTTTTCTCTTCGGTGTATCCATGTGATAGGCAAAGTCCACGTTTTAACTTGGAAAACTAAAACCGTTCCCACAATAGAACAGAACCAAACCCACTGGGTTGAATGCTTTTGGGCACTTTTACTCTTGGTAACATACACCTCTCTAACTGGCTGTGACGCTTACACTTAAGGATTAAAGTTGGACTGAGCAACAGTGAGAACGAACCCTCATATCAGAACCAGTGTGTGTATAAGGAATGGGCTGCGTGAACTGGGGCTCTCAGCCCTGTCAGAGACGAGCAATATTCCACTCACCTTCTTTCTCCCCCTCAGCACTTACACTACCAGTAACTTGTTAAATCGGGACTTGGCCTCATACACTGAATTTCCAGCATCTCAGTAACTCTTAGGCACCACCTTTCACCATAGTACATTAGAGGGTTGCTATTCCTCCACTGTACAATAATGCCTTTAATATGAAATGTTACATTATTTATAATTGGTATCATTAATGTATCTTTTTATAGCTGTAAGTACACAGAGGTAGTATATTTAACCTTCTGTAATATACTGTATTTAGAAATGAAAATCTATATAATGTTAGATCTCACGTCTTTAAGGTTTACCCCTGTGGTATGGTTTTTCAATTGATTGGACTGGGAATTCTGATCCTAACTTTGGATTGTGTTCAGCAACGATAAAATAAAATTGGACATTTGAGAAACATTCTTTTTTTTTTTCACTGAAGAACCAAGCCCATTTGAATTCTGTGGCAGAATCTTCTTTCTCAGACTTCTGTGTAAAGGCAAAAATAAAACTATACTCCTCCAGTCGGCCACACACAGGGCTTCTTTTCCTGATGGTAATGTCCATCCCTATAGTCTTGGATGTTGAACAGCCCTGTGCCTTACAGGCTAAGTGTAAGGTGCTTTCTACGCTGCCCAGGCCCCTTTAATCACAAAGCAATGGTGATTGAGTACAGAAAATGAGGATTTAGGGAACACGTCTTGTCCCCAAATAGTGACCATGTTTTTTGTTTGTTTGTTTTTTGTTTTTAATTTGTGTGTGTGTGTGTGTGTGTGTGTGTGTGTGTGTGTGTGACTTTTCTCTATGATGATCTAAGGGTCTGGGCCTAACTTAGCTGAAGATCTTAAGGCTTCTAACTGCCTAGAAACCTGGTTATGACCTGACATTGATGCTGGAGCAGAAACCTTCACTGGACTTGGGTAGGTCTGGAAAGACCAGACTGTGAAGTCAGTACCAAAAGTCCAGATGACTGACGTGTAAAAAGCACCAACCCCTTAAAAATGGCACACAGAAGACTGGACGAGACCTCTCTCAGTGTGCACTTTCCCATGTGTTGTGTATTTATGAGCATTTCATTTCTCATCCAAATGTGAACAGATGATATAAAAATGACATTTTCCGTTGTTTGGTGAATTAGAATACGACTGCCTGAAGAGAACCACTCTAGAGACGATAGGTGTGATGGTGTGCGCTTGTGTATGTGTGCATAAGGTGTGCAGGTGCATGTATATGTGCCCTTGGATGACTGTGGTTGGGTGCATTCTCTAAAAGAAGACACTTTGGGATGCTCTAGCTCCACTTCTCGGCAGGTGGCTTCTTTCTAATGTTCACCCCTTGCTAGAATCCATGCAGCAGACAGTGCTTGCAGGTGGAGATTGAGGGGGGGAGGGAGGGTGTTTAAATCATTGTTTCGGGGATATCAGAAGAAAGTGAGGATTTGGCTGAATAAAGACGACCATCAGGAGACAAAAAGAACAGTTAGCCTCAGTGAAGTGGGGTGGAAATTCAGAGAAGCAGGTGGCGGACCTACCTCTGACCACGGTCTTCCAGCTGAACCCCCTTGGGGAAGGCCATGCCAACCTAAGGCTTCTGAAAATCTGGGTGGGACGCGGGCAAACTCACGAAGAACATGGATCTGCGGGAATGAAAAAGAAGTGAGGAGGAATCTGAACTGGGCTGGAATGGTCTCCTTCCTGACCAATGCACATCTACTGGGTAAAGTTGAAGGCTGGGATAAGGCCATACATGTGGCCAATGTTCCAGATGTTTTTTGGAACAAAAGTGGGCATCTTTCCTAGCCTATGTCCAAGCCTGTTTAAAGGGGGAATTTTCTTGCTGCGGTAAGCATTGGCAACACCAGCGCCCTGGTGTCTGTCCTGGCACTCGGCATGGGGTTCCTCCTGGTGTCGCTAGGTGGCAGCGATGTCTGCTCTGAAGGCGACACCAAACCAGGCTCTCTGCTACCGCCACGCCTTGCAAACTATCAGGGACTTTTCCTTAGCAGTCACACTGCTGCCCTTGCTAACTGGTCTGGGAACCTCGGTGGCATGGCGGGGCGAGGGCAGGACTGCAGAACCGCGCCTACTTTTTCGGAAGGGTGTTCGGTGGAGAGAAAGCAGAGCATAGGCTGCGAGGTGGTCCCCTTGCCAACCAGGGATCCAAACACCAACTCTACGTAAACACTTGCCGTGCTCCTGAAGTAGCTCAGAAGGCCCACAGCTGCTCAGGTTCTGTGAACTGGTAAAGAGGGTTATGACGATCTGTCTATGTGCTCTGCACGTGGTCTCGGGAATAGTCCTTGTTACCTTACTAGAGAAGCGTCTAGGTGCAGAATCGCTTTTTCCCGCAAAGGACTATCCTTTCTGAGTGAAAATCAGAGCCGAATCGGAAGCCTGTCTGCAGCTTAGCCACGAGGGTCTAGCCTGCGTTTGGTTATTATCTCAGTGGCATCAGTTGACACAGCATCCCACCATGTTTTACCCCTCCCCACCATAATCAGCCAGGCAATGTGGCATGCACCTGTAGTGGCGGCTACTCCAGAGGCCGAAGATCTAAAAGGATTCACCAACTAGTAACATCTTTGCAAATGTCCAGAGTTAAGTCGGTGAACCAGTGGTTGAAAGGGTGCGGTTTACAAAACATCGACATTTAAAAGGCTGTTTCTGTAGGGCTCCCTAAAGACCTGAACACACATTAGCATCCTCATCCTTCTATATTCACAGCCGAGGTATATGGCCAGCATACAAGATAGAAATTAATCTGTTACTAGAGCAGAGAAGGAAAGGCTGAGCAGAGAATGGAGCAATCTTGTCACTGTGTCTGTCCCCAGGGAAGACAGCAGGGGCATCTGAACTTAGGACCCTACAAAGCTCCAGGGCCCTAGCGTCTACCGAAACAGGAGCAGTGAGCTTAGTCACCGATATCCAGCAGCTAGGGAAACCGAGGCAGGCCATCGGGGGACCGCATCCTCTTCTGCGGAGGCCGGGGGCAGCCGACCCTCTGGCGAGGGCCTGCTTCCGCGCCACCCGCCCGCCCTCTCCGCCCGCCAGGCGGCCGCAGGATTGAGGAAGTGTGTCTGGCCCCGCGGCGGCCAGAGCCTCGCAGGGCAGAGCACGGTAGGACCCGCAGGCCCCGGCCCGCCGCTGTCGCCGGCCCGCCGCTGTCGCCGGCCTGCAGCTCCCCGACTCCACCGCCGCAGGTAAGTGCTGCTCCGGCCCGCGCCCTGTCCGAGGGACACGACTGAAGCCAGCGGCCCGAGAGCCGAGTTTCGCCCGCGCCTCCCGGACCCGTGCTCGGGTCCCCGCGTGCAGCCGCGGCCGCCCGCCCTGCGCCCCGAGTCCCGCGCCGCAGCCCCCCGCCCCGCTCCCAGGCTCGCACCCCGCACCCCTAACGGCCGCGTGCTCCGGACCCCGGCCTGTGCCCGAGACTCGCAGGTCACAGCTCTGGGGGCGCCTGGATCTCGGGACGACCCGGGTCTCCTCGCCGCTTCTCTGACTGCGCCGCGACCCTCGCCCCTTGAAGGGTTTAAGCGGGTGCGGTGCTGGAGCCCGGGAGCCAGGGAACCCCGAAATCCGGCGCGGGACCGGAGCGGACCGGAGCGGGGGCGGGGAGCGGAGTTCAGAAACAAAAGTAGGAAACACCAGGGCGGCTACAAAGTTCTTTTGCGTTTGAGGAAAGCCTGATTTCTAACCTAGAGCGGGGGTCTGTCTGAGCGTGTGTGCACATGGGAGGGCGTGAGCGCCAGTGGCGGGAGGCGACCGCCCAGCAGGCTCTCCACGCGCTGGGCACCCGGGTGGCACGGGGTGGCCTGGAGGTCTTCCCCTCCTCCACTCCTGGGGCGCGCTTCTGGACCAGCGGTCGCCTCTTTGTGGCTACCGAGAACTCTCCTCTCCGTTGTTTGAACCTGCTGTGGTACCCAGTGCAGACCAAGGCAAGAATCCTAGGAGGGCGAGGGGTGGTAACAAACACAGCCACGGGGAGACTCTAAGGATGCTGAGAGCCAGTTCAGCCTGGCTTTTCACAGTTTGAGGCCATTACGTTTTTTTCTTGCATGTGCTCACCCCTGCAAAGACTGGAGCACAATAAATAGAGTCCTAAGAGCTAAGCTCTTAGCAAATTCTCACCAAATACCCCATCTTTATTGAGCTGGTCACTTGCATAGATGCCTTAAAGGATCCACAATATATACATTTTGAAAAACCTTAACATTCAACTCTTCCTCTGATTGGGTTTTTGTTGTCTTTGCTCACGTTCCAGAAAAAAATAGCATACCAGCACCTAATTTGTCCCTAAAGGAAGTTTTAGGACCAGCCAAGCCTTTCCTCCACCCAGTCTTCTACATATCCTTAATAGCTATAATAATAATAATAATAATAATAATAATAATAATAATAAACCAGCTGGAGAGATGACTCGGTATGTAAAGCATTTGCTGGTCGAGTGTAAGGATCTGAATTCAGATTCAGAATCTGCATAAAGGCAGATGTAGTGAAGGCTGTAATGCCACATTGGAGGTGCCCAGGAGACTTCTTGGGAGCTCACTGGCCAGCTAGATCTGCATGGGCAGCAGGGAAGAAGAGACTGGGATCTCAAACATGGTGCAAAGCAAAGAACACACCAGAGGTGGTCCTGTGACAGCCACACACACACACACAAAGGAGAGAGAGAATTAAAAATAAGAACCCTAGAAATTCTCTTCATCTCTGAGTCTAGCCTACTGTCTTGTTGGCTCCATCCCCAAAAAATATCCTGGTCTGGTCCCTTCTTCTCACAGCCTCCTCCATAGTCCAAATTGCCACTGTCTCTGCTATATGATCACAGCCCCCCCCCCCAGCTCTAGCTGGCAGGCACAGTGATATAATATATATAATATATTATATATATATACATTCCTTGTTTTAATATTTATTCTTTAAAATTATTTATACCATATATTTACCCTATTATTCCCCCCAACTCCTCCCATAGACTTCTCTCTACCCACCCAACTTTATATTCTTTATATCAAAACACTCAATTAAGCAAACCAAACAAACAAACTCACAAAAATGCACACAAAAAAACTTGGAGTCTGCTCTGTGTTGATCAACTGCTCCTGGGCCTGGGGCCTGGCCCTGGAGTGTGGCTGAAAACTGATTTCCCCTATCCCAGCAGGTATCACAGTTGCAAATAGCTTCTCGGTTGGGAGGTGGGACTTGGTGCCCACTTCCCCTTCTCAGGGCTGGGATTTTTGTCTGCTTTGCACCTGTGCAGGCCCTGTGCATGCCACCACAGTCTCTGTAAGCTCATGCGTACATCAGCCCTGATGCATTTCAAAAACGCCGTTTCCTTAGAGTAGTCTACCACCTCTGGCTGTTGCAGTCTTTCCACTTCCTCTCACCCATACATCCCTGAGCCCTGAGGAGTATGACAAAGACATCCCATTTAGGACGGAGTGCTCCAAAGCCTCATGCACTCTGCGTTGACCAGGTGTGGGTCTCGATGTTAATTCCCATCTGCTGTAAGAAGAAGCTTCTCTGATGTGGGTTGAGCTGTGCACTGATTTACGAGTATAGCCATGTGTCATTGGGAGCCATTTTATTGCTATGCCCCTTTAGCAGCATAATAGCAGTGGGTTTCCCCCTAGGAACAGGACAGTGTACATATTGGCTGAATGGGATGCGTCCCTCCTCTTCATGGAGTCTCCAGTTCTCTCTCTTTTCCTTTCATTCTAGCCCTCTGCCATCCCACAGCACCAGGCCACTGCCCCCAGTCTCCCAGGTTGAGCTCACTCTGCAGCTGAAGCCTCTGCTTTGCTGCCCCATGTGACCTCCTCCCAAGCCTTCCCTGGCTATGAGTTATCTACCCCGGCTCTCCCTTCCTTTCTTCTTGATCCTCCTTCATCTGTTTATCTTCTGCTTACTTACTCAGGGTCTCTACTGGGTCTCCTTAGGGCAGAGACTGTCTTGTTCACTGCGGCATCCTCTCCTAACCATGCCGGGAGGCATCTGTGAAGGGTGGTGTGTACAGTGATGGAATATTGAGAGAATAGCCTTAAGGCAGATGTGGCTTCAGACAGGTGGACCATTTCTGTCCTCCATCCTTTCTGCACTTTGGTCGGGTTTCAAACAACGGATTTGACATCCATATTTGTAGGCAGAGGATGCTGGAAGCGCTAGAGGTATCTGCAATTATAGACTATCCATCTCAACCAGGCTTTGATTCAAGAAGGAGCTAGCTGGTGTGAGCAGTCCCAGCATGCTTCACTCGGACATTCAATGTTCTTATTGACTGTCCTCCCCAAAGTTTCTGCAGAGACACCGTGGCTCTCCTCGGTCAGAAACCTCATAGTAATGACTTGTTAGTTGTCTTTCCTCTCCTCTGGCATCACAAACTCATCACTATTCAGTAAAAGCCTTTTCAGAATGAACGCCAGGCTCCTTGTTTTTGTTTTTCAATCATCATTTAGATATGTTCATTCATATAGGCGTGAAGAGTTGGCAAAAGGAAGTAGGTGGCATAAAAACATTGTTAAAGTAGTCACAATTGAAGAAAACTTCTCGAGGCCCTCTGCAGGGTATAGAGTGGAAATTCAATTCACCACAGTGATCTGTGGCATTGTTCTGCACCTAAGAGAGGCAGGAGGGAGCACTGAGCTGTGGGAGGGCAACGATGGAGTAACTCCAGATACCTCATCCTGAAGCCCCGACCTGAGGGTGTAAAGTCACAAACTACAGTTTAAACACCGCTGCTGTGACAGAATCCTCCATCTGTGGAGTGATTTGCAAAGAGAAACTGAAAGGGGAACCAAGTGGGCTGGGTGAGAGTTAGTCTAAAATATTTTAAAGTGTGTACGTGTGCGTGTGTGTGTGTGAATGTGTGTGCATGTGCGCGCGCGTGTGTGGGTGGGTGTGTGCATGTGTGTGTGCGTGTGTGTGTGTGTGCGTGTGTGTGTGTGTGTGTGTATAGCTTAAACATATTATATGCCAAGCCACTTCTGTTCTGAGAAGGAACGTAGGAACGTGTGCCATGGGGGAGTCTTTGAAATGTATCCTGTGTTTGGTGGCTCTAGAAAGGCATTCGGAAGCAGCTGATAACGATGGTTCTTGGTTTCTGGGTTTTCGTGTGGAATGTGGAGCCTTTATTTTTAATCAGCTCTGTCTTGGTGTTTTCCCTCTCTCTCTTCTCCTGGGCTGTAGAACTTACAGAGGTTCCGAACAGCTTCCGAGTTTTGCCTGGCTCTCCTGTGTTTCCTCTCTTCTCTTAGACTTCTTATCTCTAAATACCTTTCTCTGGATGGTTGGTCCTCTGGTTCAGAGAAGAGTGGCTCATAGGAGCAAGACCACTAAGGAGGGCTCTCTCGGTCACATACGCTCCTGCCTGGAAGAGTCCACCCCAGCCCCATCCTACCCCTGTCCCTACCACACCGCCCCTCAAGGGCAGGCGCCTCATTCCTAAGTGTTTAGAGGAGAAACTAGAAGCACCCTTTAGCTCTTCTTTGTTTTGTGGCTTGCTCAGTGGCTTGTACATGGTTTGGGGGAAGCTTCTAGAACCTGTGTGCTGGGACACTGTGATATTCTGAGTGTGTTCATCAATAGGGGGGCATGAGACCCTGCTGACTTCCCAGGTCCTCGCTCTGTTTTAAATGCTGGCCACACTACCCCTGTTGGAGAGAGTGAGTACTCAAACTCTGTCTCACGTGAAGGCCCCCAGTAATCCTGTGATTTGCCAGGGAGTGTGGGGGTCTGTTCTCAGCAGATGAGAAAAAAAGTTTCAACTGGATGTCACACTGATAATACCTAACAGAAACAGCCCACAGTTTGACAGCCACAGCACATGTCGTGTCTGAGCTGTTACTTACAGGACTTAGTTCTTCTTATTGATATTTTTGGTTATGTTCTCACTCCCAATTTTAGGGTTGTCTTAAGTGCTTGGCCCTGTACTTTATGTATAGGATGGATTTTGGGAACATGCAAAACATATGTATATAAATGTTAGCTAGCACCTTCCTGTCCTGGGCCAGCTCTAAACAGGCCTTTCAAAATAGGTCTGGACCTTTCTTCAGCAAAGCAGCATAGGCATTCATGTTGGAGGGCCTCCAGGGTCAGTGGGAATCCAAGCAAGGAAGAGCAGTGTTTAGTCGCAGTTCAAACTCTGCTCAGTTTTAGTAGATGAGTCTTAATTTGGTTAGAACTCTATGTGGCCAGATAATTCACGCATGGGAAGTTGTTTAGCCACACACCTGACCTTTATCCACTATGTGCCTATAGCACCCCTCTCTCAAGGTGTGACAACCCAAATATCTCTAGATATTGTCAAATGTCACCTTGGAGAGAGGTAACCTTTACAGGGTTCATTTGGCGTCATAGCCAGTAACAACTCCTCCTAGACCCCCTTCTCTTCGGGGCCGTAGCCTGGCTCCCATGTGGGGATCCCATGCGCACCCCCCGGCATCTATAGGTATCAGTCCTGGGCAAGGGACGGCCTTATATTGTGACCAACCGTGTGCCTGCCCCTCCCAGTGGAGGCGTGAGTCCTGCCAATAGGAGCCATGTTTTTGCAGTGTTGGTGGCACCGGGTTCCACACAGGGCCTGGCTGTTTGCCAGATAAAATGGCTAAGTGTTGACTGAACAACTGAACACTACAGGTGATGCTTTGGGATAATTTTGAGTTTCTTTTCACATAAACAAGATCTGGCCGGGCG